AAGAGGATGATTCTAACACCTCGAACAAAGATACTTTCGAAACACTCCAGATTCGAAAGTCTAAATGGACTCCCCCAGAGGGCCAGTTCTCATCTTTAGATTTTTTCCTCAAAAAATGTCGCCACGATATCAACAAACTTAAATTCAATCGTAACACCAAATTTTCCAATCTTTCTTCGGAAGAGTGGTCGGCACTAAAAAGTCTAAAAAAACGCAAAGACATTGTCATTAAGGTGGCCGACAAAGGCGGCGCAGTTGTTGTTTGGCGGGCCGACCTCTATCAAAAAGAAGCTTTGCGGCAACTTTCTGACACCTCCTTTTATGCCAAAGTCGACAAAGACCTCACTGTAATGAACCAAAACATTGTCAAAAATACGATTAACGATCTTATAGCTAAACAAGAATTGCCGGCCACTGCTAAAAATCTCATCATTACTACTCCTAGAACTTCATGTATTTACTTTTTACCTAAAATCCACAAACCTAACAACCCAGGTCGACCCATCGTTTCTGCCTGCAGTTGTCCCACTGAACTTATTTCCAGCTATTTAGACAAAATTATGGCACCTATCGTCAAAACTCTACCGTCTTACATTAAGGAAGCGGAACGCGGCATTGGGGTTTCCTAATTTGGTTTCTTTATCCCCAAAGTCTAAGATTAAAAGAGCCAAGTTGATCTCCTCGCTGTTTGCCAATACATCAATTGTATTCACAGGCGACTGCGGCTCACTGAGAGAGGACGAACGTTTTTCGAAACGAATGCGATGCGTCGCATGTGCAAGCAAAAACAAAAACAGCCATGACAACCGTCCAAGACTCAAAACTATGACTAACACTGTCCCATTATTTTCTGTTGAAGTCTCTAATGCGCGCAAATCTTATAAAAGGACTGTTAAAGGGCTGTGAAAGGAACTCAGACCAATTCAGACCCAAATGTTCACCATAGGTTCCAGTGCTGGTGTTTACGTCATGTCTAGCATCACGTTCAGAGACGTCACGCGACGCAACAACTCGATCTCTGCCGTTTAGGAAATTTTTTAAATAACGTAATTAGTATATTTTAAGGAGGCAGAATATCATTTTAGCCGTTTTTCCCCCGGAAACTAAGCGGCCCAGGGTTTCCTTTCGTAAATGAGAAATCTCAAAAAGTGAAACTAGAAAACACTTTACCTTTAAAAACGTTTTTAGGTTGAAGTCTTAGCGTCAGTAGTTGTCAGCGACATCTGATGACAACAACCTTTTACGTACCTGACGACTTTTCTTAAAAGCAACAGTTAACATCAATGTTTTTTGACAAATTTTTTGATAATTCTGAAATTCTGTAAAAAAAATTTTAAATTGAAAAATGTTAATAACTTTCACATCTAAAATTTTGAAAACTGCGACATTCAGATATGAATTACAAGTTTTTAGAGTTTTTCCTTCGATTCAAATCAATTAATACTTAGGAACTGAAGAGTGTTCTCAGGTTTTCAGACGAGAATTCAAAGACATTCTTTCTAACTAAGCCTTTCCTATTGACACCATGTTTGTCGGTGTATTTGTGAGGAGAATTTAAATTATGATCAGTCTTGAGAGTAAATGGGTTCATTTTGGTGTCTCTGTTTAGCACGTACTTTACTTAATGCCTTGACAATTTAAAGTAGTTTCTATTGTGCTTATTTTTTTACTTCTTTGTGTAAGAGAAATATACAGTGTATAAAATACGAAAACTGCGTTGATCTTCATTGTCTGTCTCCACATTCTAAAGATTCACGTGAGATGCAGAGAGAACAGATCTTATGGGAACTTCAATGCTTGTTTTGACCGGCGCGCGCTAAGTTGGTAATTTATGCAGCTGACAGTGTGCTAACATTCCATGTTTCAAGCCCCCACCCTCTTGACAAACGCGCGTCGTCTCGTCGATTGTATCTCTTCCATTGTCTATTGTTCTCCATATTCTCACGCGGTTTGAACGCCAAAGGACTTGTTTATGCTGTTACATGTGTGCACCTTTTTTACCTTTTTCTTCACACAAGTTTTTGCACCTTTTCACATTTGCGCATCCCTTTTTTCCTGCTTCCTTTTGTTCGTTCTTTCCTTTTTTCATAGTACTTTTCCTTTATCCCATCTTTACGCGCACTTTTGTCATTGCCCTCAACATTTTTTTTCTGCACGCTTCAATAGATGCGACTATCCGCCTGTCTCTTTCAGTTTTCATTCGTCTCAATCCTCGCGCAATCTCAGGCTTCTTACAACTCATATACCTCCTTACTCCCCCAGAGTAGTTGTTATCGTGCTTATTTTGTCCACTTTGGGATGGTGTCCTCTTAACGTCATCATTGGTAAAATCTCAGTTTTCCTTTCGACTGATTCCCAGTCCACAGGGTCTCTCACTTTAAAGTCTCACGTGCCAGTGTTTGCTCTCCTCAGTCCTTTCATTGCAGTCGCAGTTATAAAGTGGAACAGCTCCCTCCAAGTCTCGTGCATTTTGTTGGAAACGAGTCCTGCAATGTCCATATCAAGAATTATTCTATCATCTGACTGGGAATGGGCCAAACTCTCGCCCAGGGTCCACCGAATCCAAGATGGCGGCAGACCAATCCACAGACTCCACAGAGTCGGTAGCCGTCATCTTGGATGTAGACGCAGAGACGACACTAGGAAAGAGTTTTGACAGAACAAAAATTAAGAAAAGATGACTTAATATGAAACCTCCAGGGAGGTTGTCGACAACAGCCTGAGAGATTCATTATAAGAAAATAAGTTCCGTCGATTATTGGACTTCATGTCTCCTTACATCGTAGAATAAACTCCTCGAATACGCACGCCTATATGCCCCTCCTCCCCCTCCCTTCAATGGCATTATACATCCCTCTACTTCAACATTTATCATTATACAGAACAATACAACATTGTACCCCTGAGTAGCACTGTAAATCCGTATATTGCAGTAACTATGCAGCGCTTCACAACAATATGTACTCCCAGTTAGCACTGTGCTTCCCTCTATTGAATTTTACATCACCATACAGCGCTTTATAAACAATTTCTCCAATTTAGCCCGAAAATAAGTGCGGATCCTAGACCGTACATGTTTTCACGCAAAATAGAGGCTATTATGTTTTTATTCTTCAAACATTTTGCAACGCTCGTGAAAAAAATTTTATGAAAAGCTTAGTGAACTTAATAGAGTTTGATACGAAGACTTTTCGTAGTGGACGTATAAGGTTTGCAAATCGGGAAATATCGCTTAGGTGATATTCTCGGGTAACACCCAGTTTTAGCTGGGGGATATTCAGTCACTTGCTACGTTAAGACCAATCTCGCGCGATCAGAAATATTTGATGGATCATAAACAACAATATGTGACCCTAGATGGCACTATACTTCCGTCTTCTGCAGTTTACATCACTATACAGCGCTACACAACAATATGTACCCCTTAATAACACTATACTACCCTCTTCTACAGTTTACATCACTATACAGCGCTTTACAACATTATGTACCACTAAGTAGCCTTGATCGGCATAATAGAACACCTACCAGGAAATGTTTTGGCCTCACGGGCCATGCTTTTGTCTTACTCCAAAGTTAATAAGATACTCGATGAAAACCTCTACGTCGTTTTCAGAAAACACATTTTCCAGCGCAGTTGTGACTCGTCTGATATGAAGATACAGAGATAGAGAGTTAATTACGGCTTCAAGTTTCAAACTCTTAAAGGCCGGAAATATGTCTTGAATTCTTGGGTTGGACATAAAAAATCTAAAAACAAAATCACTCACGAACATCATTATTAACTTTGAAAAATAGAAATTCGATTACGTTAATTTAGATAATGCATTTTACTCCCATTTTGCCATGTATGCAAAGAAATATGGACACTGAGCAATACCCACAACAAGACACAGCACATAGTTGTGAATCTCCATCCTCATCCTCAGTAGAACCATGCTATCACGAAGGTAGTGCGCGTTTACGCACGAAAAGGCCTGAGTAAACGTTTTCGCGGTCTACTTAATTGTTGATGGTTTCCATTTTGTAGGGTTCTTCTTTAAAACCGGCGCTCTGTTTTTAGCGACTCATTCAAGTACTGCTCTAGCTAAGACGTAACTTAACTCTTTATACAATAGGAAATAGACAAACAACAGGTGGCACCTTTTAAAGGACATTAACAAGTTATGATAAGTCTGCAAATTCTTTGGGCAACAATAGTCATGAACGATTCATAAACATCGGTAGCAGTTACGAAAGTTTACGCGTTATATTTGAGTTTTTTGCATTTGGAAAAGTCGTTTCTATCTATATGATGACTAACCCTCTTTCTCACAAATGTGACAATTTGTACCTGATCAGCTCAGAGGTGAATCAGACAGTAAAAAATTTGTCAGCAGATATAACCAGCTGCTGATCCCTTTTTGTAAACTTGTCGTTAACTGTTCTCAGTTCTTAAGGAAATGCTCGTTTTTCCTTTTCATTTTCCGAATGAGATATATAAATGTTTGAATGTTAAATCTGGGGAAGAATTTTTCCTGCAAAAAATTTGGGCCCCAAACACACAACGGTGACCTATTGACACGAAAAAGAAATAGAAAAAAAACACACTTGAAATATAGATCTATTTTTGGCGAACGTCTTTAAAAGTCCTAAAAAACAAACAAATTGAGTTTCAAAGGTGGACGCGTTTCGGCTGGTGGACATAGTTGAATTTATTGCTCTACTTCAGTGGAACAATTTAGACAACAATAGATTTTTCAACGCTTCTCAAAGGGATATCTATCTCTAGATAGATAGATAAATAGATGATCTTTCTTTATACAAAATAATATTTTAAGCTACAAGCTTGTGGGGTCATGTGAAGAAAAAATGAAAATTACATGCCATCTTAATATAACTTGAATTTAAAAAGGGAATTTCTATATAATATAACTTCTACATAAAAAAAATCTCTAACGCTGTGTTTTTATCGATACTATGGTCACTACCGACTAAAAAACAAATTTTAGTGTTTACTGACAGTTCAAATGAATTAGTATTAGTTATCTTGCTTATTTTGTCCACTTAAGGATGGTGTCCTCTTAACGTCATCTCTAGTAAAATCTCAGTTTTCCTTTCGATTGATTCCCAGTCCACAAGTTCTCTCACTTTAAAGTCTCATTTGCCAGTGTTTGCTCTCCTCAGTCCTTTCATCATTGTAGCGGTTATAAAGCGAAAGAGCTCCCTCCAAGTCTCGGCGACATAATCGGTGCATTTTGTTGGAAACGAATCCTTTAATGTCCAAATTAAGGCTTCTTCTATCATCTGATTGGGAATGGGTCAAACTCTCGCCTGGGGTCCACCTACATCGCGAATCCAAGATGACGGCAGACCAATCCACAGACTCCACAGAGTTGGTACCCGTCATCTTGGATGTAGATACAGAGAAGACCCTAGGAAAGAGTTTTGATAAAACAATAAGTAACAAAGAATAACTTACTATGGTACTTCCATAGAGGCAGTCGATAACAACTAGAGAGATTCATTATGAGCAAACACGTTCCGTCGATTAGTGGACTCTATGTCCCCTTACATCGTAGAATAAACTCCTCGAATACGCGCGCCTATATGCCCCTCTCCCCCTCCCTTCAATGCCATTATGCATCCTTTACTTCAACATTTATCATTATACAGCAAAATACATTATTGTACCCCTGAGTAGCACTTTAAATCCGTAAAATGCAGTTTAAATCTATACGCAGCACCATACCACGCTAAACGTTCCTTGATACATTGTACATCCGTATAATGCAGTTTTTATAACTATGCAGCGCTTTTCGTGAAAAATTCTCTATGAACAGCTTACTAAATTGAATTGATTTTGAAACGAAGACCTATCGTGGTGGACGTAAGGTTTGCAAATTGGGGAATATCGTGACTGAATATCCCCTAGTTTTAGTTGGGGGATATTCATCTACGTTTAAAACAATTGCGCGCAAGCAAAAATAATTGATGCATCCTAATCAAAATATGTACCCTTAGATAGCATTATATTTCTCGCTACTGCAGTTTATAATACTATATAGCGCTACACAACAATATGTACCCCTAGATAGCACTATACTTCCCGCTACTGCAGTTTACATTACAATACAGCGCTATACGACAATATGTACCTCAAGGTTACATTGATTGGCATAATAGGATACATACATCGAAATGTTCCAGCCTCACGGGCCATGCTTTATGTCTTTCTCCAAGATTCATTAAATACTCGATGAAAACCTCTGCGTCGTTTAAAGAAAAAATAGAATTTTCCAGCGCAGTCATGACTCGTCTGACGTGAAGATACAGAGATCGAGAGTTGATTACGGCTTCAAGTTTCAAACTCTTAAAGGCGGGAAATATGTCTTGAATTCTTGGGTTGGACTCAAAAAGTCTGAAACAAAATCATTCACGGACATCGTTATTAACTCTGAATAATGGAAATTCGACTTACGTTTACTTTAGATATAAACTTTACTCCTATTTTGCAAGTTATGCAAAAAAATCAAGACACCGAGAAATACTCACAACAAGACACAGCTTCTCAGTTATGAATCTCCATTCATATCCTCAGTAGAGCTATGCTATCACGAAGGTAGTGCGCATGCGTTTGCATTTGAAAGTCAATTTGCGCAAAATAATGACCCGATTGGTAAGAAAACTGGCAAAACACGCGGAAGCGCTGGTGCTTTCGCGTTTGCGCACGGAAAGGCTCGAGAAAACGTTTTCACGGTCTACTTAATTGTTGATTGTTTTCATTTCTGGGGTTCTTCTTTGAAACCGGGGCTCGGTTCCTAGCGACTTGTTCAAGTATTGCTCTACTTAAGACGTAGCTTAACTCTTTATACAATAGGAAATACGCAAACGACAGGTGGCACCTTTTAAAGGACATTAAACACGTTATGATAAGTCTGCAAATTCTTTAGACAACAATAGTCATCAACAATTCATAAACATCGGTAGCAGTTGCGAAAGTTTTCCCGTTATATTTTAGGTTTTTTGCATTTGGAAAATTCATTTCTATCTATGCGATGACTAACCCCCTTTCTCACAAATATGAAAATTATTCTGAACCTGATCAGCTCATAGATGATTTAGGCAGTAAAAAATATGTCAGCAATTATAAACAGCTACCGATCCTATCCGTAAACTTGTAAATAATTGTTCTTAGTTCCCCAGGAAATGCTCCTTTCTCCTTCTCATTTTTCAAATGATTTATATAAATGCTTGAATGTTGCAGTTGGGAACGAATTTTTTCTGCAAACCAATATGGGTTCCAAAGATACAATGGTGACTTATTGACATGAAAAATAAAAAAAAAAACACACTTGAAATATAAATCTATTTTTGGTGAACGTCTGTAAATGTTATAAAAAAACAAATTGAGTTTGAAAGGTGCACGCATTTCGGCTGTTGGAAATACAAGCTTGTGGGGTCGCGTGAAGAAAAAAGAAAATTACATGTTATTCAAATATAACTTAAATTTGAAAATAGAAAATGATGTACATTAACTTCTTAGTTCGAACAAAATCTTCAACGCTGTGTTTTATCGATACCATGCACCGACTGAACAACAAATTTTTAGTGTTTACTGACACTTCAAACGCATTATTTAGGATATCATCCATCGAAATTGAGGTTTCGATCATCATGCAACAAAAAATAAAGGTAAAATCTATTGGTAACAAATGAGGAACGAAGAATAAAAAAACATGGAAGTCATTAAGAATAATCGCGCTAAGACCTTCCTATATACCAAGGAATTGTACCACTGGATTCAGCATGTTTAAGTTAGCAACTTTCACGTGTAGCATGACATCCAATTAGGATCAGCATACTGTTTCCTCTTTTTCTCCATTTTAAACGATTCCAATCCTAATTGTGGTATGATATTTTCATAAAAAAGCTACTGTCAACTCGAGACTCTACAGTCTTTTTTTTTAGGAAATGAAACACAACAAACCAGAGATAGCGAGTATTTAAAACACTTACCGTCCAAACACTTTCTTCCCTATGACGCTCTTAATGGGCTCAATGAGCTGCCAAAATTCTCTTAAAATGCATTTTTGTTCGTGTGATAGCGGAATGTCTCTGATTCTTGAAGTCGATGTTGCCTCAGCAACTGAGACTACAATTTCGATTCTGTTATTACGCGATGCAAAACAACCCATGGCATTTACAGTGTGATCGTTAAACCTAAAATGAAGATGTGTAGACACTAGCTGAATAAATTTATGAATCCAGCTGCTTTCCCTCGAGAAAGTTGTCATACGCTGTGATGATGGGTGTGTCTCTATATCGACCAACATCTTGACTTGTTTGTTGTTTGTGAAAAGCTGCCGTTTGGTCGAGAAAGAGTAGATATACCCTGTCTTGACTAAAAGCCTTAATACTTAAATGAGTGATTCGTGCATGAGTGAAAATTGGAAAATTATTTAGCATTTTTTCCCGACAAGAACATACAAGAGACGAGTTAACACCTCAGCTATAATTTGCATTTTGGGTATGGTAATCGGGTCTTTGTACTACCAATTAAGCTCCTGAGTTCTTCCCCTAACATATCTCGAGCCAAAAACTGTCGCCGAACAGTCTCTCTCGGCGATTGGGCCTCTAGGCATCTAACCTTTCTCTACAGTGTTGGTAAATGGCATTTGATAATCAGGTATTTTGAGCTGTTACTACTATTATTAATTTACACATGTTGTAGGAATAACTATCAGCGATATTGATGGGAAACCGCTAATTTTCAAGCACAATTAAAGTTCTATAAGTATAGACGTTGTGCAGTTATACGCCCTTCCTGTGTACTTGGAAGAATTTATTTCGTGAACTTTCCTTCGTTCTTCAAACCACTAATTTTCTAATATTTCTGCGGTACTTTCATAATTTATTCATTAAAATTTCGTGCAAATGTAAAACGTAGACTAAAGCTGGCTCGATCTGTCCTCATGGGGCATCTGGTGAAAACGTGTGAATCATTATATTGGTGCTGAAAAATTATTTTTATTGAGTTACTCCGACAGGCCTCAACGCACGGATTCAGGCGAATTTATTTATTTTAGAAGTTGTAGAGTCGGAAATTAAGAGCGTCCCACCTACTTGAAAATATTGATCCGTGAAACATATCTGCTGAAATGTTCGAAAATTAATACCTGTTTAGGAGAAAGGGATTTTTCATATATTTTTGCTTCGAATAGTCAAATGAGGATATAAGCCCGTCCAGACAAGTAAAGTAATTCTCCATTCTTAACTAAGTAATTTGTGACAGTTATATCGAAGTGTGTAATTTTGAAGTGATCCTTAAGCGACATACTGCAGTGCATGACGAGATATAACCTCTCTCAGTTATATTAACTTTGTATTCTTCCTTGATGTGACATAATTATAAATAGCGTCACAAACTTGGGCTCCAGGCCTCTGCAGTGATCATGATGCTAACATAGGTTCCAGTGCTGGTGTTCAGGTCATGTCTAGCATTACGTTCAGAGCCGTCACGCGACGCAACCAACTCGATCTCTGCAGTTAGGAAATTTTTAAAATAACGTAATTAGTATATTTTAAGGAGACAGAATATAATTTAAGCCGTTTTTCCCCCGGAAACTGAGCGGCCCAGGGTTTCAGACGAGAATTCAAAGATATTCTTCCTAACTAAGCCTTAGTTAACCACTGTATCTCTACGGAAAAGTACCTTCATGTTTTACGCTAAAAACACAAATCCTCTGAAGAAATCAATTGAGATCTAAATATATGACTTCTTTAATTTTCCTCGAATATTTTTTTTTTTTTTTTTTAATTTTGGGGTAACGTACTCTTCGTCGAACTTTTCACGTATATATTTAGTTCCTACAAGTTGAGCGAATCATTTTGGTGATGCGCAAGGAAAATCTTGTTATGAATGACTCTTCAGTTTTATAATACTATTTTTTTTTTTGCTATTTTCTCATCACCTTACGAATCTACTAAATAACTTTGGCACCGAGTAACGTTTTCCGCGTTTTTCCCCAAAAAGCAGAAAAATACAAACGAGACCGGAAACTGCTGCTGATTTTCCAATACTGAACGGTGAGTCATTCCTAATGCTATTTTTCAGTGTCAGAAACTCACGGTAAGCTCGTTTTAAATACACGGTGAAACGACGCCGCCTGCAATGTATTTTCAGTAATTTGCTCAGTAAATGAAAGGTTAGTTCTGAGGGGGGTGAGGTGGGGATAACATTATTTGGTCACTTAGTAGGTACTTGTGGGGGGGGGAGCAGATTGGATGAAAATTCAAAGGAATTGGGTTCTATTCGAGTTTTTGATCCCCTTTCTCTTTTATGAGGGGAAGAAAATCAAACTGAGATTTTAAATCGGATCAACTCTTAGACGGTATGTTTTTGGTAAGAGTTTTTTCGCCATATCCCAGGTTCAAAGTTGAGTTGAAGACAAATTTGTTCATCAAAACTCTGTCTTCTTTTGGACTACTTTATCTTTATGTAAACTCAAGGTTAGAAAAGCCTTGTTAATTGCTGGCTGAGAGAAATTGTTTACTTTTCATTTACGGTGTAAAAAGGAGTGAATTGAACACCGTCCGATAAAGAAATAAGACACAAATTGCATTGAATAATCAATGGGCTCCTGATACACTAAGGTATATAGTCAGAGAAGGTATAGTAGCTGAAATATTCATTACTGCTCGAGTAACAATTCAACTTTTTTGGCTCATTTGAATACTTGCTGTCTTATTGTAGATGAAGGGCAAATATAGCTAGGAACTGACAGGAAATATAACTACTTTTGTTTGCTTTTTGACGTCTAGACCGGGCATTAATAAATGTATTTTCTCACGTTCTCTCAAAAAAATGAAAAGATCAGTTGTTTTTTTCTGTTATATCACCCTGGTCTTTTGCATGGTCTTTAACTGAATTCAGCAACAACTAGAAAACACGAACGGATGTAATTCGCCGCAAAGAAAGGAAATCATAGTGAACACAAAGGTGTATCCGGTAAGGTCTTATTTTTATTCAGCTTCCACCATGATGTTTTATCCCCTTTCATATGCTTTTCAAACCTGATTCGTCATCTGCTAACATGGGCTTGCTGACGACTGACCAAGCAAACAGATTCTTAAACCCTGACGGCAACAACTATTCCACCACGATCGGCAAAATCAAAACTGCTTGCGGTTTTTATTTCGTACCAGATAGCGTTGATTCATCCAATCTTTCATGAGATTTAATGAGATTTAACAAATTTTTTTCCCTGATGGCAACAACTTCCACTATGAGAATTAAAATCAAAAAATGGCGGTGATTCAAGCATGACATATTGATATTTTAATACTAAATTAATTTAAGAAATAAGTCGGCCAATCCTTTGTAACTAGTTTTGGATCGAAAGTAAATCATTTGTTTGGTTTTTCAACACGTAACAGCCTTTTGTAGTCGACAACTCAAATAATTAAATTCTTATTTCCGTCGACAACTCATATTTTTTTGGTTTGACAAAATGCTACGCATATTAATTACATTATGTGAAACGCATCTTGGGTCATATATTGGGCTATCCCTTGCCATGATTCTATACAGAATGTTATTAAATTTATTTGTGATTTGGGGTAAAAAAACAATCGGGTTAGGTGTAGCTCAAATTTATAAAATGAGGACGTACAAGGTGACAGCTGACTGTTTTCTAAACCTAAAAGATTTTTTTAGACTGCTACTAGGACACGTTCAATTCCGAAGCGTAGCTGAAGGGGGTGAGGGTGAGGTGCCTGTGGATTCATCTTCCCCCTCCCCCCCCCCGTTAGTTTTTTTTCCAAATCAATTGTATACACGTACAAATCCTATGATTAAGTTTGCGTAGACGTACGAGTCTGAAAAACGCACATGAACCTTTTCCAGTGCTGGATAGTCATCTGACAGTCCCTCGTCTGATCGGGTGAGTGTCGTAAGTCGACAATGTTCAGCAATGTGATTGTTTATATCACCTTTCCTCATCGCGCGCTCGTGTTCACACAGTCTTGTTGTGAGGTTTCTGCCAGTCTCACCGATGTAGAAGGCTTGGCAATCGGAGCAATTGATCTTATAAACCGCTCCCTGTCAAAGAACAACTAGAACGCAGACTTCATCCGACGAAACGCTCACCGACCTACTGCAACTAACGAAACAAACCACAACGCAGTTCCTACGACTACAGCAACCGTATCGTACATAAAGGCACGTACAAGAACATCCCTGGCATTCTAAAATCCTTTAATATCCACGTCGCCCACAAACTCATCACCACACTACTTCCGTTAAAAACAAACGTCAAAATCAAAGGCGAACCGAAGAACAGAGAGGGGTTCATACGAAGCACGTTATTGACTGGGACTCTGTGCAATGCCTAACCTACAGTATTGACTACTTTCAACAACCGACTCAGAAAAGCTGGTTTGCGTACGCGGACCAGACTCCCCTACTACCAGCACCATACAAACGACTCATTGACGACATTAATATTACAAACGAAACGAACAAAACGACTGAACTTTACTAACGGATGGAATCAGACCAATCGCGACCGACTTACGCTACTTGAGTCTTACAGCCAATAGCATCACGGCAAAACTGACCAATCAGTTTATACGAACCGGACTTAGAACAATCGACTGACAATAACCATTCACTTGACCCTTCTCAAGACTACAATCACTCGGACCATAAAAATACACGATCACGTGTTACCCCGGGTTCATACCTTTAATTTTACTGTAAAATTGTAAATAGCCGACGACATATTACTAAGACTACTAAAAGAGCACCTTTCCGAAGTTAGGCGTCGAGGCACCAAAACCATTTTAGTAGTAACAGCCAATCAGAACCTAGATTAAAAACAAACAAGCCGCCAAAAGCGCGGGAAAAACTTGAATAACCATGACACTGTTGGTTTAAGTCTTCCGTCTGATTGGTTGAGGGGGTGGTTCGAATTCTATGAACCAATCAAGGAGCGAGGTAAATAAAGCCAATGAAACTATGAATTACTTTCATAACTAAATTGCAAATTGCTACAAAACTACAAAGTTGGAATGGAAACCCAAAGATGAACCATGAAAAGAGCACCGTTACAGCGAGCTTCAATTCGATAACTTTTCTGCTCTAAGAAACGAAATTTAAGTTTCAAAAATCGGACACTAAGACCTTTTTACCAAACCCTGATCCTAACCCTTACCTAGGGACCAATTGGGGAAGAAAACCATGAACCTTTCTAATCAGAGCACTTAACCCATAATACAGAAGCGAGTTTTAATGGTGTAGTTCGGTTTGTTTACTTTAGTCATTTGATTGTGCATACAATTTTAGAGGTGTTCAACACTTCTACAGGTGACCTAACCTGGCTCAACTTCATCTTTTGTTTTGAATTTCTGACACTTGAAACTTAATACTACAATGCCACTTTGTTAAAGAACTCTTTGGATTTATATTTGAATTGCAAATGTTTCTTCCTCTGAAGATTTTAAATGTGTATTTTGAAGACAAATTAGGATTCGTGACAAAAAAAAAGGTAAGTGTCGAAATCCGTAAGGTTCTTGTCCTCCAGCCTTATTTGACGTTACTCTTTAAATGGCAAACCCTTTTTTATGTGTATCTACAACATCAAATGAATTAAGTGAAAAAGAAAAGCTTCGCTGTTTTCCCAATTGTGAAATGTTTTTAGTTTGAAAAAAGCACTGAATCTTAAAAAAGGACAAAGACAGTCTAAAAATTTCTTAATGATTAACTTTATTTTCCTCGGCTGTATATAACTTTATCCTCCATGTAGTAAACATATTAATTTTGTATTTGGTATGTCGGAAGCTTTAAGGCAGTGATAATTTTAAATCGTTAATACAGAATTGAAAACATATTGAATTCAAAGTTAAAACAGACAAAGTAGATTTAAAAGTTACTTCTGTTTTTTTATTCCAGACATTTAAGTTTTGTGAAATAAAAACAATTGCTAGAGCTATCTTGTGCAAGAGTTATAGAAGAAAAGGTCGTTTGACGACTTGTGCTTCTTTTACTTTACTCTTGTCCCGTACGGCTGCAATTAGTATTGTGTAGTTAAAAGACAAACAATTGTAACATATTGATCATTAAGCTTTTTTTAAACTGTCAGCTTAAGCCTAACGATTCGTGATCATGAAATACTCAAAGGTTATCAAACAAGATTTCATCACAGACATACAGGTACACTTTTGGCATTAAAATGAATCTTTCACGTGATGTTTTTTATTTTCGTTAACAGGGAAATTGCGACAAAACTCTTGGAAATCAATTGATAACCGAACTTCTGACGCACAGCACAACTTAATTGCGCATAAATTATCATATATTTTCCAATTTGATTTTTTTTGTTTACATACAAATATGCCTTTAGCAACAGGCCATATTGAAAATTAATCCCAATCGGGTTTTTAAAGTACGACTAAAGGAAATAACAATTTACAGGTAGGAAACATATGTTTGCTTTTCCAGTAGTACAAACAGCGTTTTACTCTTTTTTGATGGATATTTCTCTAATTCGTCCAAAAAAAAGGAAGTGAAAATCGAGGTGCACTAAATTTAAACGGAAAAGATATGGAAGCATTTTTCATATCTCGAATATAAGGACAACACCAACCAATATTAAAATAAATTTTCGTCGGTTTTGATGTATCGACGATCTAATTTTTTTTAATGTACCAAACAGCGCAGTTTGAAAACATGAGGATTTTTTCACAGGGAATAGGGAACAAGGTAAAAGAGTTCTTCATTGTGTACCAACAGTTGTAAACCAGAAGAAATCCTTTCGTGATTATTTCATATAATTGAAAGTTTTTGGATAATTGCTGAAGAAAAAATAATGCTAATTGATTGGAACTCTCCGATAAGGAACATAAAAGACTTGAGCAATTGAGGCTTAGTTTTCCGAGAAACGAAAACTTTGTCAGAGCCATTATAATAATTGTATCTTCTCTTACTTTCTTAGAGGTTTGCACGTCATGCTAATGACGTCATTTTAATGTCAGTTTAATATCAAACCTGTCAATTAATTGAAAAGGAACAATGTATGTCCTTTATAACCTACTTCTACCAAATCAGTCTTTCTTCTGTCACTAAGCAATGTTGCACTGGTCAGTCATTCTATCAAAACAAAGGTTGTTCTAACTTCATTTTAACACTACGAGTAATTAATTATTTTTCAAAGTTTTTATACACAACTTACCACAAAATTTATCAAAGAAAGCTAGTAATATTCCTTTCCAAGTACTTTTCCATATTCTTACCAGCAGAGCAACAAGGAAGGATTTGCTAGTAGCAGATGGCTTTCTATTGTTCTTTCAGCCTTTTTCTAACTTTTTCAGTTGATATAAGATGAGGAATTTTTTCAAAATAGCAAATGGTAAATTGACCTCTTGATAGCGAAAAGGATTTATTTCACTTCTCATCACAAATATATCCACAAAATGTTGTTCTCATAGGAATCCGTGACAATACGTAAGAAATATATTACAATGTGAGATATTTACAACAAATTAATCAGAAATAAAGTTTATAATGGTTCCTAATGTAGGTTTTTTCATTTAAAGATATCATATCATTACATACATAGGATACTATGGTGCTATCTGTTGAATGAATCGTTTGTAGCTCATTGATAGTTAATGTATTTTAAAGCCTGAAAACTTCATGGGGCACTTACTTTAGCCTGAGTCTCTCCTAACTCAAAACAACTTACCATACACAACCGGAGATCAATTTATTATCTCATTCACAGCAGGACCAAGACATTCAGGTCATTTTTTTGTTTGGTTTTTTTTTTGTTTTTTTTTTTTGTCAAAGATGCTTAGACTGATTTCTTTTCATCTTCAGATTCAGAAAAATGAAGACAAAAATGAATAAGATTCAGTTTTTTAGTTGTCTGTAGCTGAATTTCATTTAGTTAAACCCGGTTTAACTTGGCATGTTTTGCTTATGTGATTGGAATACATTTTTTTCTAAAAACACTGGAGCTTGATGAACCCTAAGCCTTGAGTATGTCGTTTAATCTGGAAATACCCAGGGGCATAGCCAGAAGGTTCGTAATTATTCTTAATGTTTTCATAGGAGGTCTTTAACTGAATGAATTGTTTTATATAGCAGAAACATTTAGTTTGGAACTAGACAGCTCTTTGACAGTATACTTTGAAGATGAAAATTCTCTGAATTTCCTGGCGACTCCGGTGTTTTCGTCTCTTATTCAGTCAATGGTTGAAATAGTTTATTTTATAAGCCACAACGCGTTGGTCTGAAACATAACGAAAGATGGGTATTGATTTTCAAAGCACATTATTCGTGCTCAATTGTTTAGTCTCCTTTATATCTAACATATCAACCTTCACAGCATGAACTCTCTTTCAACTGTAGCCAATAGTGTTGCGCTATTTGATGGGAACATAAATAACAGCATTTTGAACTGAAAGGGTCTTGAAATCGAGCTCTTAAGATAGAGTTATCGGTTTCCTTTGACTACCAGGTTACCGGAGGTAAAAAGCAATTAAAACTTCATTTATCACACAACGACAAGAAGCAGATGGAATGAGACCTTTCTGTCATTTTCAATAAACTAACGATCGAAGGAAACAAACCAATTTTACAAGATGTTGTTCAGAGTTTGAGAGGTATGTTCATCTTTGTAATTCTGACTATGTAAACTTTGCTTCAAGATTTTTTATTTTCAATAATTTCCTGTCCGTGACTTGATAGAAAAAGATTAATCAGTACTTTCATTTATGTGAACTCCTAGGGCCAGAAGACATTATAATTTACATAGAAGTCAATGAGTTATGTTTTTTTAAGTTTTAATGACTGAAATTACTTGGCATGTTTATTTTATCCATCTTTGTTTTTTCAAGTTACTGCCGTTTAAACGACCGACTGCATTCGAGAAAAAAATAGCCAAAAAATTGATGGGGTTGTCGACTGATTTATCGAGGATGTAGGACGAAGAAATTTTTCGAGTTCATTCTGAAGATTTCAACTCTAACACCTTCCAATTTCGCGATAAATACTCAAAAAGGTAAAATACAAAAGCTTCGCTGGCGAATTTTAACATATGCCAGATTCAAGTTCATTTTCACTGTCCATATAATATCAGCGCTTTTTATTTTTCGCCGAAATGGCTTTATACAAAATTTAAAACCACGTTTTACCCCGTTTACTTCACGGGCGGAATTTATCTCATGGCGACTGAAGTCCTTTAACCATTGTTGAAGAAATGAAACGAAAAAGTCTGTTCCAGGCCTCTTCTGTTTCCTTTGTCCATTGGCTGCGTAGTAAATCTTTCAAGTTGTACATCAGTGCTTCCTGCATTGCCTAAAAATATAAATGAAAATCGATAAGATATTTTATTATTAGTAATAGTAGTAAGTTAGGGATCTGTTGATGGTTCCTGTTTTCGCGAAGGGTAACTGATGATTACATTTTCTTTAATCATTTACACCCCAACATCAGTTTTCATATTCTCCATATTGTCCTCTAAACATTTACAAAGGTGCTGACAAGGAGAATTTGTTTAACAATCAAGGGCTTATTTGGCTGGTGATCATTTTCTTTATTCTCGTAACTCAAATGCCTGATTCAGTGGTGATATTGTAAGGAGAAATTAGACGCTAGTCACCCTTTGGGGTTAAAAGAGTTAAATGCTGAAGCAAATTTGAGTTATGTAAAGACATTTCAACTGAACGTAGCTAAACTTGGATTTGTTTACATTTAAAATTATTCTTTTGGCAATATTTACTTGAATGATTTTTTGTTAGTTTTGCCCTGAAATTACATACATTACACGCGTCAAGTAAAACGATCAAGCTAGAGAAAAGATAAGTGTTATTATATTTGTTGATGCCATTGATTGGCGGAAGCTCGGATTCTTAACTCTTTATATTGATCAGATAGCGGTCTGACGTTTATTTCAAATTCAAATACTCTCATTCAAAATACTACTGAAAGACAAAATGCAAATATTATCTTTAAACGGAATTTAGATAGAAGAGATCTGTAGTGTCACGGGCGTGGAAAATAGACGTGGGATATCGAGAGACCAAAGTCCCCCCTGTCCCCCCATCACCCGCTCTCCAGGCAGGTCTCATTTTTGGTCGATTAATTTTCCAATCGCAGCAATATTGGTTTATATTTTGTTCGAGTTTTGCTTGCTGTATCCAGCTGAGGGTTACCTTAACGCAGGCGATTCCTTCAATCTTTATTTCGAAAAATTATCATTTATATATCCCCGCAACCCATGTAGTCGTCATGCTGACATACCAACTCGTTACAGTTTAGTGATACTTACATCAAGATAAGACGGTTTCAATGCGCGAGCTATATGTCTCCTTCCCAGTTCCTCCAGGTACGCAGCGAAGCTAAACGCATCATCTAGTGAAGACACGGCGTTCTCCACGGCTTTCATGACTCGCTTAGCGTGTCCATATAAAGCACTCGTGTTCTCTAGTTCAACTGGGTCTACGTCTTTAAACTCTGGAAACAGCTTTTGATAGTCGGGATTCATCTCAAAAAATCTGAGAGAAGTTAGAGAGAACCTGTGAGCAACTAGCCTGTTCCAGGCGTTTAGCTAAGAAACTAAGCGCGACAGTAAACCGCGCTAAAGGAGAGGAGCAGGAAAATCCAGAGAGGTCTGGGTCGATTTTTTGCCCAGTAACCGTCTTCGTGACATTTATATTTGTCCTGCTTGACTATGATAAATAAATAATGTAATAATAATAATAATAATAATAATAATAATAATATAATAATAATGTTTGGTGCATTCCCTTTTTCAAACGATCCTGTAAATCAGAAGAGCCATGCACCAGCCATAGTTTGCCGATGGTCACAAACTAATATTTTGATCATGTAGCGGAAGAAATAACTCGCCTTTTACCAGATTTAACTAAAATGAAATTAAGCTGCGTCGCATTTTTTTTTATTTAGGTGGTATAGCTTGAAGGAAATAATGCGTTCTTCTTAACATAATGCATATTTCTTCGCCTGAGACATGGCAACGGGGAGTAAACAAATAAAAACATGAATCCACGTTTGTATTCAGTGAAAGATCAACATCAATCGTCTAGTTTAAAACGTCTTATTCTGTCGCAAAATTGTCCTAAGAATATTTTATAGTGAATGATTACTTTTATTGAAAACCACGTCGAAGTTGAATGATCAGAATTAATCGCAAGAGTTTAGTTGTGACTAGGTTGTCAGTAGGCGGAATTTTAAATGGTATTCTTTTCGCAGAAATGAAAATGCAATTTTTCATTCTGACTTTTATGACGGAAATTCAGGCTGTCAAGATGTATTTTCATGGCAGGCGTATAAGTTATTTAATAAATTTCACTGATGGACGAGTATACGAGGCGTTTCACGCTATGAAATGAAAAATTGAAGTAGGAATGCTCAAAAATTCTTTGGACAAGAACATTGTTCCGATTACAGCCCCATTTCTTTGTTACAAAGGGGCAGCGTAAACGTTTTTTTTGGATAGTGTTATTTTCGTTGTTACCGTAAAAGGACAACTAGTTGACAGCTTTGGGCGACATTGTATACAAGCTACATCCCAGCAGCAGTGTTTCTTTTGTAATTTCTCCTGCACCTGTTTCTTCCGTCCCTGTTTTTCACTACAATATACCTGTTTTTGTGCATCTGTTCAGTTAGCTCTGAAAGTAGAAACGTCTTGTGGAAAATTCCTCTGGGCAATAAATACGATTACTTGAACTCGCGTTCTTTTTTTTCCTTTTTTGGAAATTACATTTGCGAAATGCACAAGAGCCTCAGCGAGCGATTCCTCGAGGTGATAAATGCGATTATTTCCAGTGGCGTCCGTTTTTGCAAATTTGAATTGCAACAAGTAGAAAGCTCTTGAGAATCGCAAATTAAGTAAGAAATTCACATGCAAGAAGTGCGCATCGGTTCTAGATCTTATCCGTCCATACAAGAGCGCTTCGTTACAGCCTTAACCGAGAGAAAAAAAAATCACTGTAAAAGTTGTCTTCCAGAGTCAAGAAATTATATTCTCGGTTAAGTTGTATCTATCCCCGAGGAAGGTTAATCTACTCAACTCGCGATTCAAATGCAAGTGCTCAAAAGATATCATCCCATATCAGGTTTCAACGAAGCGACAGAAAAAAAAACAAGAATAACTATCTACAGCAAAAAAAATAATGAAAGGAAAACAAAGTCTACCGAGGAAATTGAGTAAACGACAAAACACGAAAGTGTTTACCTTAGAAACGTTTTCTTCCCGACCATATTTTTGTGTTGTTCGATCGTTTCCCAAGTTTCTCGGACAAGATACTTCTGTGGCTCGGACAAGGGAAGCGAGACATGGGCATGCTTTTGACTTAAAGACGAAGAACAACCCATATTTTTGTGAAAAATGATCCAAAACGTTCTTTGGTCGCCACGGTTTGCATGTGACGGCAAAATTTGTAATTAAGGTGCTGAAGGAAGTTGACATAATCTATGTAAACTAGTATCTCCACTGCCCGCAATGACTGCTTAGTGCATTTCTATGTAGACACCAATAATTAGGAACTTCAACTTGAAGCATTTGGCCTTTCGTCAAGTGTCTTGCGCAATTTCCTCAAAAATATATTTCATCTCAGCTAATAGCCAATAAATTAAAGTATGGTCATGTCGCCCTAGAAAAAGCACGAAGTAAATTTTTATTTTGAATAAATTTAAATATCTTTGGCGCGAAAGAGTAGATATATTTATCCAGGCTCAATGTGTTTTGCTAATTTTTTGTTTCTACCGCAGACCTGAGGCATAACAGGTGTGTTTGGAGTAATTTCATATGACGGGGAAAAACTTAAGATTGAGCTGGAAAATATGTTAAGTCGAGATGATTACAAATATTTCCACTCTTCAAAAATATTTTTAACATCGTAATTGATGTCATCTGCAGTTGAAAGAACAGCTTCAAAAATACCCTTCGCAGATTGTTTGAATGTATTCCCGAAAAGGTGTCACTTTTCTAAAAAAATCAACTCAATGCTCTTAAATTAGCATATTTCATTTAGTCCGAGGATTCTCAATATTTATGAGAAAGCGTTCTGTTTTTGACACCTTTGGTAACTTAAGTAAAACTTCAACGTAAGAATAAATATTTAAATTTCGTTTCTACAATACTAACGCAAAGTTACGAAAAAGTACGACAATTGAATTTCTGAAGTACAATTTGTCGTCAGAGTAGTAGTTAAGGAGGTTGAAATTCTGTTATTTCTGTGGGAGTCTATGTTACCTAGGCAACTTAACAGCTAGCCTACTCGCGCCATAGCAACATGACGATGCCAAAACAAAAGCGACAAACGGTGCTTCCATAAGCCATGAGATAAAGTTTTGAAAGTCTATCGTACGTTTTCAAAGAAAACCGATGCAATCGGCTTTGTTCGTCTTCAATTCTTGTCGTTTTAACCATATTTTGTGAATGTTGTTGAAGAAATTAAGTTTTAGAATTGAAATGATGGTCGCGTTTCCCTATTTTTTAACCCGTTCTAAATATTTATCCCTAGGGCGAAAAATTGTTGCTTCCTAGTAATAACATTAATTATAATAAATTTCGGATATAACGTGTGCTGTCATTGGTTGAAAGAGCGTGCTCTATGAGAGTATAGAGCATAGAGCTGAGCTAAAGCTGTCACGCCATCTGACAAATTGTACAATGTCCGACCTTTTCCGGGACTTTTCCCAAATTTTTTTTTCTTCAATTGAAAGTTAATTTGGGAACAGGCAAGTCGGCAAATAGCAAAAGAAGAATCAAACAAAGGTTTGTAAACGTCAAGACACTACACTTCTTTCGTGCTCTAACCGCTTCCTACGTGCTTTACAACAGAACAGAGCACAGCCAAGGCTTCTCCATTTGTTAAATGTTTAATTGTGTAAGTTTTCTGGATAATCCGACCATAAAATCACCGATTCAGAAGTTATTCTGCGTAAAAGTTGATAGTTTAAACATATAACCGTCGGTTTTATTTCTCGTTCAGGCTTTAAAAAAAAAACAAAAACAAAAACGGAAAGCAATGAAAATCTAACCATTTCGCTTAGAACATTTTATGGAAGTTGATATCGCCTTAAAGTTACTAGCTTACTGGTAATAGCTTTATCCTCTGACATTGGAATTTATCAGTATTGAAATTCTGCAGTTCATTATTTTAATTGCTTTATACAGCTCTGTTGCTGTTGATCCTGTTTGTATCAGGATGTTCGTTGCTATGAAACCAAACACGTAAATGGTTTCCCCTTTTTCATCGCTGCAAAACGTAAGCTGACTCAAGTGTTATTTCTCTTACTTTCTATTCGTTTTCTCGATAACTAATGAACGCAATTTCATGACAGATGGATAGAAAGCATTAACTTCGACCGTAGGTTATTTCTAATTTATATCACGTACGATACTAATCTATAATTATGGATGAAATTTCATTCTTTTATAAAACGTTAAAACCGCACACAATTACGAGTGAAGTGCATTAAAGCTAAAATCACCTGTTATGGCGATAAAAAGCAGAATTCATGGAGATTGACCGAACTTATGGGAAAGTCTTCCCAAATAAATTGAAAGAAATGCGACTCCTAAAAATTTACCTCTGTAAAATTGCGAGAAGAGCAGGTTGCTTGAATTCAATGGATTTCTCAGCTTCGGAAATTTCGGAAGTGCACGTGTATCATCATTGACAATTTAGCTCTCTCCAAAGAACATATCCTGTTTGATTTCCTCCAGTGTGCTATATGATCGCCACTTCAAGTTGTCAGTATTTATCCCTCTTCAAGTATAAATATTTATAAATAAAACGTTCAAACTCTGTCTTGAAGATTAAGCAGATATTTAAATGTATTAAATAAACCTTTTTCATTTTATAAGTGAGTAGGCGACACAGTTCATTACTTGCATTGCAAGTGTATACTTTTAAAAGTATAATTTGAAATGCAAATTTTGTAATGAAACTTTTATTGCGTCTCTATCGTGGATCATGTTTTGTTTTTATTCATTTGATATTTGTTTCTTTCCAAAAATGATCACATATTATTGTCTTAAAAATTAACCGAAATGACGTGAGTAATTTGTTCATAAGAAATATACTGTCCCGCTCTGAAACCGATTTGGGTTAAATTTCTGAAAAACAAAATTTGGATAGATATGCTAATTTGCTAGCATGGTGGTTGTAATGGAAATGTCGAGTTTATTTTTTGGCTAATTAGAGCAGAAGTCTTTAGTTGGACAGAATATTACAATATATAACATAAAAAAAGTACATCAAAGGCCTACTTTCAACCACAGACTGATCAAGATAAAAACTCCGTGGTGAGGTTAATAACACAATGTTTCTTTTAGTTGGCGAGTTAATTTTTAAAATTAAGCTTCAAATGGGAGAAATTTATTAGATGTAGTTTGGGATCAAATTTTTTTCCGACTTCATTGTTAATTTGCGACAGAGTTTAGACGTTTAGAGGGAAAAATTTGAGTAATGTTATCTTATCTAGAATAGCTCTTAAAATAATTTATATGAAGCGAAGAACTTATATTTTGCGCCAAAATATAATTAGCTAGGCTTTACAACTTCCTTTCTCCTCGTAGAGTTGTATTAAGAAATGATTTCAATTCACAGTAGGTTTCAGTTCATTTAAAATGTAAGTGTTCCTCTTGGTCGATTCATAAACACAAACAAACTTCAGAATTGGGTCTTAACGTTTTCTCTCTAAGATTTGTAACGTTGCCAGCTTTGTTGCTATTTTCCACGCTTAACGACATATTGAAACGGACGTGTCACCCATGGTATTTCTTTTACACGAATATTCATACTGTTTAAGAAGATTTATGGGTCATTGATGGATCGAAAATGAAACCTATCCCTTGAAAATTTTAAAAAAATTAAAACTCACCCTCGAAGAAAACAGCTTTGTATTATCAATAAGTTTTACTCGGGAAAACTACAGTTATGGTTGTATATTATATTAGCAAACGAGTCAAAGATAAAAGACTTATGAGTTTTCCTGTAGTTTGACTTGTAGCATTTAGAGGGCCTTGTTATTATGATCCATAAAAAATAAATTATTTTAAATTTTTCTTTCAACTTCTCCAAGCAGGTGTGAAATTATTAGCCGCTGGCGGGTAGTTCACACGACTATTTCAGTTCATTCGCAAATTTTTGCTACGTTTTCATTCGGCAAGAAACAAACGAGTAGAAAAAAATTTGAATGTCTCTCAGTAACATAGAGATAGATTACGATGAAAGGAAAAAGGAAAATTAGCCATTTATTTCGTGTATGAGATGCGTGCATGTGTCTCGTTTACTAATTTCTCATAGGTACAGTGGACCTGTTTTATTTGGCTGATTGCACGTAATAGACGTGTAGCACCGCTGACGTGGGTAATAACGCACCATTTAGGTAATCCAACACAGTTTCTTGTCGCCCAATGTCGGTTAAGCAAGATAAATCAAACTGAAAGATTTGGAGAGATTTTTGTTTGAGCTTTGTGTAAATTATCATCCTCACGTGTCACAAACCGAACGGGTCAGAGCAAAAAAATAAGAAAACAAAACTACAGTCATTAAGCAATACAACATTATGGAATGAAAGTTTTCTGATTTTGGTTACGATAAATATTTAGCGTGTTTTCATGGGAAGCTAGGAGTAAAAAAATTGACCAGCTACCGACTAGTAGGTGAAGAAGACAACAAAAACACAACAACGATAACAAAATACAAACTAAAACTTGAGACGTGTACACAACATAAAAGCTACTAACGAAAACAACTGACATTCCCCAATTGGTACGTGATAAAAAAAAAACAGGAAACAGATAAAAATATTCTAAAAAGGCAAACCACAAGTCAGAAGTAAAGGAGATAAAGAAGAACGAAAAAAAAAAGGAATTGCATTAAAAGCTCATGACGAATGTTGATAAAAGCAGAAAAAAAACCAAAAATTAAAACAGAGACAAATTCTAAAAGTTAAAAACCAGGCCAAAGCACCAAAATGCAATAAAAAGGACAAAAAACAGACAATACAAAATACAGAACAAAGGAAAGATTATCCACTAGTTTTTTTTAATGACAACGTAGTATAACAGGAAGTAACTACGGAGGACATAAAATGGTTTATATAAATTGCAAGAACCAGAAATTAAGAGTAATCAGATATGTGCAAGGCGCAATTTATTGACCGCATGTGGCTCAGAATTAAAGGGTTAGCCTACTTTACTGCGAGTAGCTTTTTTGACCGCACGAGCTGCGATCATGATATTGCTCGAAAAGGTCATCATGCACTTAGACACTCACAGCACGAAAATAGGATATTTCGCGAGTTATGAGTCTTTCAGTCAGGGGTACTCCTTTCAGGCCTTTCATGTTAGTTTTTAATTTCCATAGTGGAATAATTTCAAATTATATATTCATTTGTCGTATCGAATGGACTTTTGTCTTGCAATGTTTTGCCCAATTTAATTTGCTTCAGACAAGTGGGGTCTCCCTTACGGCGACGAAAAATCACTTAGCATGTTTGCAATTTGCATGCAGCATCAATTGTCAGAGTTTTACAATCGGTGCCAATCAGATTCAGCTTATTGTAAAACGCTCTTTTATCTCCAATACAAAATGATTTGTTCAATGTTGGGCTGACAGAAGCAACGCCAGATCGAGCTATTTATGTCAAGAAGCAAATCTGCCGAGTTGTAGTGTTTTTTCAGGGTAAACACAGATTTTCAAATCATCTTTTCAAATCGTTACAGGTGTTGTCAAGAAGTCTGCCAGCTATTTCATCACAATATAAACAAGAATATGGGATGCGGATCTTCGTCGAGTCGCCACAGAGATAAATTTAAGGCCTCTGTATTTCCACTCACTACGGCTCAAAAGTACCTGGTACGCGAGACCTGGGAAACAATCGAAATCCATAAGAGTTCTGTTGGGAAGAAGACTTTTATCAAGTGAGTGTAATTTATATATTAAGAAGACAGTTCAAATCGCTCAATCTAGAGTCTCCACTGAGATTGATTATAACTTTCATCCCAAAAAAAGTTGGTACAACGTTATATTTATTTCACTACGTAGATTTTCCATTTTAGAATATGTTTTTGTAAAATATGAATAGGTCCGTTCAATATTGTATAGCTCCAGGAATCAATATATTCACTTTAGCGTTTAATTTAACATGTCAAAAAAGCCATTGGTGATCGAGTGTTTTCTATGAGACTGAAAAGAAATATTACAGCACAGCCAAAACTAGCAATTTATTTATGCTTCGTCTTGTAAAATCATTTGAAAAGACAATATCGCTTTATATAATTCCCTTTTTTTTTGTTCCAACGGATAATAAGGCTTAGCAACTTTATGGAGAGAGGGAATTCTGGGTTTTATCACAAACTTGCTTAGAAGTGGAAAACGTAAAAAATGAGAACTTCTGTAGCCGTTTATTTTTCGGTTCCCTTCGTAGTTTTTAATGATCAGTAATAATTGATTTGATAATTTTTTCGGTTGAACAACTTTATTCCTCGTTATCGTCACGTTCCCTCTTAAGCGTGGGCACTGATCATCGTTCGCCGTAAAAATCTTTTCTCCGAATTAGGAGACCAGTCAAACCCCACGAGAAATAGGATAAAAATGAAAATAAAAATAACGGTATTGTGTCCGTAATACAGAGTATTCATCAGCCACAAGACGTTTTTCAGGTCATGTTGATCTAAATTGGTTTCCCGTTCCAATTCAACGTAATACGCTGGCACAATTTCAAGCGATATTTAAGTAAAGCTTTAAATTTCGAGTTTTCTCTCACACAAAGTTATGGAAGCAAAGACACCATACGGTAGAAAAACTAATTTCTTCAAGGATTTCATGTTTTTAATCTTAGAATCTATCCCAAAAACTTACTCTGTGGTGTACTAAGCAATTACTTATTTCATCAAAACACAATATCTCTTTTATATAAATCCATAATTCAATATTGAGAGCTTTAAAATACTCCACCAAGGTTACTTCATATCCAAATGATATCTTGCATAATAATATAAATATAACTTAGAAAACCGTCCTAAACGGCCTGTAATTTGATTTTTGCGAGAAAATTATAGATTTCCTTCCCCTCTGAAAAAGATGGTCGAAAACCGCTGTTTGCTTTGCTCCAAATTAAGCCAGTGCTTTCTCAAACAATAGCTTGTACTCCAATTACTATTTCAGTTCATATGTGGTTGCAACGGTGCGTAGTCTCATGCTATAGCTAGGGATCCGTGGGCTTACTCCTACGCTTTATTGCGTTGGTAAATTATTTTGAATGGACTGAATTTATCACTGACTTAAACCTGTAGAGGAAAGTTTAAAAAAACCATATCAACCTTTTTAATTTAGTGTCCACGATATTAACGAAGGTAAATTCACATAAACAGGATCGTGAAAATTCGGAAATGGCTATGAATTTAAATGGTCGTTCATCTCTTTTGCGAGAGTTTCTGATTTTTTCATCAAAACTTCGTTTTTATCACTTGTAAACGGTGCAGCTGTACAAGCGATGAATGGAGTAGAAGAGCAAGCTGTATCAACGGGAAAGTTTGAACACTTCAACCCCTAAGAGTGATAAGTAACTATTTTCTCTTGCCAGTATCACCTTTAAAACAAACATTGAGGACATGAGAATAAAGGAAATGATCACCAACTAAAGAAGCTATTGATTGTTAAACAAATTCTCTTTATCAGTACCATAGGAAATGTATAGAGAGCAGTGAGGAGAAAATGCATGCTGATGTTAGGGTGTAAAGGGTGAAAAGATACCTCCAACGCGAATCGTGCACGATCATGATTTTTTATTAACTTGTTAGCAGTAAAACAATAGTTTTAAAAATAAAAACATTTATTTACGTTTTAGCTTTTCAACCCTTTACACCCTAGCATCAGTGAGCATATTCTCCAAATTGTTCCCTATACATTTCCTAAGGTTCTGACTAGGAGAAGTTGCCTAACAATCAAGAGCGTCTTTTAGTGATGATCATTTTCTTTATTCTCATGACCTTCATTTGTGATCGAGGGGTGATATTGTTTGGAGAAATTAGATGCTAATCACTCTGAGGGATCAAGGGGTTAATTGTGCTTACGTGTTGGTCGAAACCTGTTCCTGACAATCAACCAGGACACCCCCCCTCCCTAATTTAAAGTAGCACGTTTGTGAAACATTAACCTCTTAGTCCGTAATGAGATTATAGATTTTTATCTTTTTTATCGTGACATCGTCTCGCTAAATGCTTAGCCACAATTAACTAAATACATCAATTGGTCTGTAGAAATAATATGAAAGTTGATCTGCAAAAGATATTGTTTTTTTATCTACACAGTGGTCATCCCTAATAGACCTTCATTTTCTTCAGAATAGCTACTTAATCGGTGAAAAGAGAGCGACTGCTTTGATAAAATATAACCATTTGGTACAAAAGCCAATAATTACTATATTCAAAACGGCTTTTGTCTGTCCAAGACGCTCGATTTACGAAAACTAAGTAAAAAACTTGTCTTTTGGTTCGTAAAACTGTATGTCTTAAGAATTTTTTTTTTAACTCGTTACTGCTACTCTAGGATTTCTCTGATATAAGTAAAAATAAACTTTACATATTGCATTGTCACTTACAGAGGAAGTCAGCTACTGTGCATAGCCGTAACATATAAATTTTTACATCTTTGCAGATTCTTTGAAAATAATCCTGAATATCAGCGACTTTTTCCGGAATTTAAAGATGTACCTCCCTCTGAGCTCGCAAAGACAAATGCCTTATATGGTCATGCGAAAAGAGTGATGAAAGCGGTAGAGAATGCCGTCTCTGCATTGGATGATTCTGAGAGTTTTAGCGCGTATTTGGAAGAATTAGGACGCAGACATAAAACACGTTTCTTGAAACCAACATATCTTGACGTAAGTTAATAGATAACTTTTCACTGACTGACATCATATATTTGATTTTTAGTATTATTGCCTAGGCGATAACAGAGCTGCTACTCTATAATTGGTCAGAACTAAATCATATCTTGCTATATCTACCATGCATGAAGCTTCTTTTTGGCTAAATGTTCTGGCGTTGCTAAAGAAGAAAAAGGAGATGAACGAGAAATCCTAAAAAAAACAAATTCAAGCTTGAATTGTGATGCCTGTCATTTCCTCCAAAAATGATCAATTCCCTTTTTTTTTTCTCAGTCTATGCAGGAGGCCCTGATGTTTGTTCTTAAAGATCTTCTCAAGTCTAGTTGGACTGAGGAAACTGCAGATGCCTGGAACAAGTTATTCCAGTTCATCACAGAACACATGGTTTACGGCTTGCAGTCGTGATACACAAGAAACAGTTACAGAGAGACAGAACTCTTATTTCCCCTCAAAGGCAATGACCATCTAGTTTAGAAGCAGGTGGGGTAGGATACTAAAACTGCGAACTCCGAAGCAAGAGGAAAGCTTTATGACAAAGAAAAAAATATTCTCGAGCCTAGTTTTCCCGCGGCCTAAAGTTGGAATACAAAGCATACGGTCTGGGTTCGAGTTAAGTGAAAGCATATCAATTAGACACAAAATCGTAGACATTATATTTGAAGCACAGAATAATTGCACAAACCTCTCCTCTTTGTCTTCTTTGAATAAGATTATGGCTCTTACTATGATGAAATTACAAAGGAGCCAGTCTGACAGTCGCTGGTATATTGAAAACTTTTGCTAGTCAAAGTTTCAAGCACGAAATATTTATCGTCATGTTAACTAAGCAAAGATTTCTGTAAAACTAGCCAAATGAGTCACCTTCAGAGGGAAAATTAACCAACTTTTCCCCGTGCACACCTCATGAACGTCAACTAAAGCTACATTTAAGGTCAATGAGAAATTTTAAAAGAAAATGCGAAAACTTATTTCCATCAAGTTCTAAGCATAAATGCTAGTTTCTTGAAGCCGTTTCTAACACAAACGGATTGCGTGGTAGGTTAGGGTTGAACTGCCCAGAGGTAGCATTTGTAGCCACTACGAATGTCATGCATTGAACTTGAATTGTCGCTTAGTCCTAATCGCAAGGTGACACGTGAATAACAGATCGTCTTCTCAAGGTGAGCTCTTCGCGGTTTTTGTCTGTTTAAACAAAAATTTCAAGGAAACCTTCTCACTTTCAGGTGTACTAGAGTGTCTTCTTCCCCGTAAATTTATTTGATTTTGCGATTCTGACATCATTTCAGCTTAACACTTATTCAAAAATTGTCTGTACGACAACACGAGCTACAATGCTTTATTTTGTGCTTTGTGTTTCCCGCCAAAACACGTCGGCTTCCACTTATTTTTCCGCGCTTTTGGCTGGCCGACCGGTGTTATTCGAGCAATCGTCTTTGGATGCCGTATATTGGCTTCAAGTCAGGCCTAAATAACTTTATGACATAACGTAAGCAAATATTTACTCATGGTTGTTCAGAATCTTATCATAATCAAATATGAGTAAAATAATTCATTATAATAACAAAAGTATTTGTAGATGACATATCTCTGTATTGTATTATACACTAGTGCAAAAACGAAATGTAAATAACAATTTTCTACGGACTAAAAGTGCCAAACGCTCATGGGCTTTGAAATAATGTCTTTGATAGCATTTTTTTTAATAAACAATGAAAAGTTTAATGAACCAATGCTTTTCTGAGAGCGAACTCGCCAAATTTCTCCTGCCCTAGGAAATACGTGAACAATAACAACTTCCCCTTACGAGGGCGCGAAATATTGGTTCTCTTTCAAGAAAAAGAAAGCGATCTACAACCGCAAATTCTGCTTACAATTCTCGTTACTTTTTGAAAAACTATCGCTACTTGGACATTTTATACCACTGTACCAATCTGAAAGAAAAAGTTATCAAGCAATATTTACTAACGTAATAAGACTTAGTCCGGTAAGGGACAGGTTATTTTATACAGCTGTATTCAAATTCATTAACTAGAGGTCACTTGATAAACTGATTATTTCATTCTGAGGGTGATAATTCCGAAATTCCCTTGATCACATATCGGACGAATGATGAAGAAGACAGCGATATGTATCGACTTTAGCTTTCGTTGAGTCCACCATTGAAATTGTGATTTCTCAAAATAATGACTGGTATCGTTGGAACCATGATTGAGTGTCCGAACTCGAACCCAGGGCGGCATCCTTGGGATTTGTTATTTGGCAGCTTACGTCTGCTGCACAGTCTCACAGTCTTTCAATCTCTCCCCACCCCCAAGAGTATAAATGGATACCAGCGAATTGTTGGAGGAACTAAATGATAAAAAAAAACATACTGATTATAGTGGTATCCAATAATCTGTCAAGGAAGAACACATTTTTTTGAGTGGAGAATTTGTAAGCATAAAAGCAGTTATGTATCATTCAGGCCTGTAAGCATCGCCTTGAACATGAATTTAGATAAAGCGTCCCAGGCTTCAAAAGTTTCAGATGTCCATTCTGACTGGAAAATTTCTTTTAAAGAAAACATGAAGGCCTCATGTATCAACTGCAAAGGAATAAATAAGAATCAGTTAAATTCTCATAGGATCAGCCTGAAAATAAACATATCGATGTATGAAGCGAAACCAAATGAAAATAAATTTTGATAGATGAAGTTAAACTATGAGTAAAGTTACACAATTATAGATAATTTTTAAGTAGACAACGTATCATAGCCTTATGGTAGAATTTTGTGGCTTTCCGAACTGCCAAGATGTAAAGAGAGGCCGCAGCTGCTTAGAATGATTAATGAGATAAAAGTGTCTGGGAATATGGTTTTGATGCGTGCTATTTATTCCTTACTACATCGCCAGGGTGTTCCCGGAATCGGTCACCTGGTCGTCTTCCTGTTTCAGCGATGTATATCTTTTTGCAATAAGTGCAAGTTACGCAATTGATGAGGTGCACGTGACAGATATCGACGGATATTTCCGCAACGTAATGAATGAGAGTACAAGTTTTGCATCGTTCGCGCACGCATTTAAAAATCGGTTTTCACGTTTGAACGAAATAAGTAGAGGTTGCGAAAAGATTGTACCAGTCTCTGAATCATTTTCACTTAATTTTAAGTTTTCAAGAATGATGAATTTAAATGCGTGGTTTTGAGGGTGAAATGTGAGAGTGAATGGAATGCGATCAGTGTTTTCCTTCTGAGCCGTTTGTGATGCTGATTGTCGGTCAATTTTTGGGCGCGGTATCCTGTTTTTGTCGTTCAAGCGGGCCACCAGTCACGTTTTTCGAAAAACTGGCACATTGCCACTGATTTGTCGAAGAAATCGGAGTCATCACTACATAAACGACCGGGTCTAATACACTGAGAAAAGGGAAAACCTGTTAAGAGAGAGTCTACTTACATCCAAGTAATGGGCTTTGAGGGGCCGAACCTGATGTCGTCTCCCGAGTTCAACAAGATAAGTGACAAAGCGTTCATTATCGTCCATGGATGTGACAGCATTTTCAAGACATTTCATGTAGGTTTTACTGTGTCCAAATAAAGCTCGTGCCGATTTCAGCTCTTCCACTGGATCATTTGTATTAAACTCTGGCATCATCTTCTTAATTTGAGGATTTAATTCGAAAACCCTGCAACGAAAAATGAAGTCTTATTGAGCTTTTCAATTGTAACTTTTCCCTATTGAATGGTTTACAGTCTGATACAGACATTTCGGAGACAAAGCGCTAATTTATGTAATATTTTCTCAGAAAATATTTGAATAAATGGTGATTATATAACTGACATAGCACCAAGCTTTTTTTCGCAGCACATTCTACAATGTCTCGAATTCACATTTTATGCTTTTAGGCTTAAAATGGGCACAGTGCGTTTTAACTGCCCTGCAGGCCTGGTCAGGGGGTTTTCCTTATCAAAATACTGTTATAAATCATCTTGTTTTCCAGGAATTTTAGCATTTAGAATACGAAAATGAGTTTATTTACATATAAATTTTATGCAATCTCAGGCTATATCGATATTTCTCGGGGAAAAATCTGGTATTTTCTGATATTCCACTATCACCACGGTAGGACTTGGCTAATAAGAAGCGAGACCACAATATGGAAAAAAATTCTTAAAAATTTTATGGAAAAAAATCTGATATAAAAAGGGGTGAATCCGTTTTCCTCGGTAGAGGGAAATGCGCTCTTTTGTAGCCAAGTCACAGCATCAATGACACTTAGGTTATCAAGGTGCTGAACAATAAGCGCACCATGAAACTCATATACTGCAATTTGTTCGTATTTCTCTTTAGAAAAATGTCGATGGGATCACAAGAAACAGGGGGTTTTCAATTATCAACAGAATTCGTACAGAAAGCACACTGTGTAAGAAATTTCAAACCGAGAACGACTTCCTGAGACTTTGAAGTTCCGTTCATAATTTTTTAACATCTCAACTTCCCGTTTGCATGGAGGTGGAAGTTTGGCTAAAATGCCTCACTACAGTGCAAGGTTTTTTTCGCTGATTAAATGAAGGATCTGGGATCTGGTATTCATAATGATATATCGCTGGGTAACTGAAACCTTTGTTAAAAGACAAACGGAGGCAGAGTTTTCACACAGTAACTTCAGCTTTACCTCGTATGAGCCCTTCGGTGTAATCAGATGCTACTGTTGCTAGAATGTGACTACAGACAAAGGCATAAACTCAGAAAAATTCAAAAAGTACAAATTTTTTTTGAAATTGATCATGATCAGTGTTTTAATTTTCCTAAACGTTAATTTTAAAAACTTATTTAAACGTAGCGCTGATAATTCCATGCATTGTTTATCTTGACAATGAAGGCGTAAAGTTTCAATCAAACGGCTACAGCTGTTTTTCATGAGAGATTTCTAAAGTTTCAATCTTTCCGCGTGGGTACTCATTTTCATCAATTAGACAAGAGAAACGAATTTGGGAAATTTAATATTCACGAACATGTCATAGAAAAAAATTCATCACTTCATTATAAGCACGACGATCATTCTTTTTAATTTTTAGTACTGAAGGCTTTACCTGCATAGCTAAATATAAATCATGCTTTTTCCCTGTAGATTTCCCCGAGCAAAGTGTGGCATGGAACACAAACTTTGCAGCTTTGAGTTTTCTTAATATCAGTCGGACATCGACTCGAAAGCAGACAAATACAGTTTCCGTTTGGCGCGCTTTGTAATTGATATCATTCGCCAATCAATGAATCTTGTTTTAGCTGGACGAACCAAAACTTACAGAGAGCATTACGGCGGTAAAGAAAGACGTTAAATCTCCGGTTTCCACTCGTTGCCTGGCGAATTCTGTCCTTAAGTTCTCTATCGCAGCAAGCAGAAGATGTGTTAACGTTTCGCAAAAACTTTGCATATATTACTGGGAAGGAAAATAGAAAAATCTGCAGGTGTCATTATTTGTCGGGCAATTTTTTTTTTTTTTTTTTTATCAGAAGTCTCTCTAGATTGCTTCATTCTGTGTTTTAAACTAGCTTGTTTGTGCAACCTCATTGATTTTACATTCAACTCGGATTTGAATGAAAAAAAATATACAGAAAATTCGTGACTATACCGACAATAAAGAATAAATTATTCAGCCAATTTAGAAGCTGAAAATAATTAGGGTACCAGAGAAACTGTCATTGCTATTGAATTTAGGGATACATGTTCCCAATTTTGAACTTTACTAGCCTAAAAACGAACTAATGGAACAAAATCTGGTGTGACTTAATTAAACAACAAAACTTTTAGCTGGCTGCGACTTGCAATAAGAGTTTTTTTGTAAATATATCTTCAATCAATCCCTCTTTAAAACATTTGAAAAAAGGTTATTCTAGAACATAAACATCTTTCGACCGTTTCCTGTCTCTAATACAGTATTTTTCCATGTTCCTGTGAGCAGAAGTTTGGAAAATGTTGCGCTTGAACGCAAGATTAACATCTTCAGATATATGCGTCTTTGAAACATAATTTTTCTTACAACCAAATTACCTTATCCATGTTTGTTTTCCAATCTTCGTTCGATTTTCTTCGACCGTTTTCCACGTCATCTGTATGGCAATCTTTTGAGCATCGCTGAGGTTATTCGAAATATTGACTTTAGAAACAAGCTCTTTGTTGTGCAATGATGAAGAACAGCCCATTATACAGTTAAACCACCTAAGCTTTTACAAACTCACACTGAAGATGTCATGGCCAGCTGCAACTCATTTCGGCACCTGAATTATACCAAGTTGTTAATCAGCTTTCATATCATTCGGCATTACAACGACGTGAAAGAAACTGTCAATTAGGGCAGCGGTTTACGTAAAAATTTACACGTTTGAAAAATTAAACCATTCGAAAGAACTCACCCACTACAGCCAATCACAGAGGATTGAATTACCTCTTGAAATAAATAATAATTTGTTTATCGTATCTCTTACCGTGGAGTGGTGTTGCGCCCTCAAAGAGACCCAAACACCTAGCTAGTTATCGACTAACGAGATAGATGAGTCAGATAAACCTTAGATGTGATTTTAACATCGAAAGTGACATTTGTACCCGCGCCTTTTGTCAGAGCCACATAAACTTGCAGCTGATCAACAGCTTAGTGTTTTATTCATTCGTCGGCGAGGCTTGAAATTTTCTCACTTTTTCTACCTTGAGTCCTCGCGATCCTCGCCGAAGGTGATAACAATGTTCCACCAAACAATATTGCTTCATTTAAATGCACTTCATGACTAAGACTTCGCCTTTGATATTCGTAGAGTAATATCCTGTGCGTACCACAATCATTCTTCTTCTTTAGGCTTTGTTACGTCGTTGCTGCAGGTGTAGTTAACATTTATCAAAGACTTCCCCTCATCATATCTTTTATGTTTTGCATAATAGCAAGTAATTACTTCACTTTAACAATTACCGGAAATATCAAATATTTTTCTTTATTTTTCAATTTCGGTATTTTTAAAGAAAATGTTAATTATGTGGATACTATTTGACGCAAAGTGAAAATTATGTTTTATAAATACATATGTTATTTTTTTTAAAAAAATTTTTTATAAAAGTTTAGAATACATTAAAAGAAGAAACATCTTGAGTCGGAGTATTGATTTAAAAGCCAAAGCAAAATTGAAGTGAGAAAAAACAAATTTACGAAGATAACGAACTCACTGAGACCTGATATTGATAATGTCTTACACTCAGGACCAACATCATTTTGTGGAAAACAAACCCATGTCAAAAAAGGTAATTTAGTATTATCAAGCGAGTTGATAACGTAAATTGGCCACCATAGAGAGTTTCTATAGCTGACCGCGTTTCGAGCGCCAGCCTTTTGTCAGGATTGAAGGACGCAGGGCTAATGCAAAAAGGAATATCCTGAACAATACTGCGTAACTTGTAACTCGATTTCTGCCTTTTTCGATTATGATAGTACACTAGGCACAGGACTTTGTCTTCTTTTCGGAAAAAACCTTTTGGTCAATATATTATTTCCATTGCCACTCGAAGGAAAGTAGACGAGAAATTGATATTTCATACGTCATTTTGCTCTGTTAATGTTCAATTTGCTGTTTTTATGATCTATCGTCATTAACATATTAAGAAGTGGTGCTTAAGTAATTGGAGACCACAACACATTCGATTTTTCCCGTGGAATTTTCTCTTCCTTTGAGAATGCAGTCAAATTATTAATTAGAATTGAACCCCTGTCCTGGCCTCGCTTTCGCACTCTACCCCCGCATAACATGTGGGAGGGTCATTGTTGGACTTGTTGAAGACAGCTGTTCGCATTTTATTTCCTTGGTGCACCCAGTTAGATAGAAAATGAAATATTTCAACTCTAAAGAAGAAAGACTAATACAGAACTTAAACCATATGAATCTATTATGCTAGGGAGTCTTTCAGCTTTTAGCATCACACTTTTGAACTGCCGAAGAAAGGGAATTTAAAATGGCGGAGAGAAATCGCGGGCAATTTTATATTTGACGAGGAAATGTCGATCATCCATCAGAAAATGTACCTAATTTTGCCATGGTGAAATCATCTCGTAAAATTCTCATTTTCTAACCACGATTTGCAAAAAAGTCGAGCTAAAATTTCCAGAGAAAAGTAAATTTGTTGTGGCTTTACGTTATTTAGAAGAAGTATTTTTGTGACGTTGCTGTGAAATGAGGCGAAGACTGTGTATGAGAACATTTATGTTGACACAGTTTCACCTGAGATTGGAGCCTATGGCGATCGAAATTTATTCAGTGAAAGAAAAGTTTTAGTAAGGCAAGAGAGGTTTGAGAAGGTTTATGATTTCTTAACAAAAGACATTCCTATGTAATTAAGAAAAAGCTTAAATGCTTTGTTGAAATATTTTAAGCCAAACTTCTTTAGTGACATATTCAATATAAAGCAACAATCCGTGCCTCGCTATTTACAATTATTTTGTACCTCAGTTAAAAAAATGACGAGACTGAGGTCGTAATGGCAGCTATCGAACCTCAAAAAATTCGTACTTGTCTGTCGCTTATTTCTGGATCATCATTATAAGTGTCTTCATGGATATGCAAGCCACTTGGCATTCTTAATGCATCATCAGCCATGCATGTTTTATTTACTTAGAGTTTACAATAACACACCAAAATGCTAATTGCTTAAATCACCAAAATCACATCAATCGCCAAACCCAACAATGATACAACTTAAAAACAAAAATGTGGGATAAAACAGCAGTACTTGACCCCTATAGACACACAGTCCTCAAATGTAGAGAAAACAAAATTCACTCTAGTTTCAAGGAAAGATGACTTCCGGCCTCACGCCTGTTTGGAACAAACACTGATCTGTCTCTTTTGCGAGGACTCGAACCCCTGTCAATTTCGAACCTTTGCCACATCATCCACCAAGCTGCGCAGCACAACGCGCTAAATACTATGCCGCCCTTCCGATGTGACGTACGTCATGAAAGGAGCCCAATACTTAAGTAATGGGCTCCTGTTCATATATTGTTTTACAAGCTTTAACAGCTGTTAGAACACCCACTAATTTGCGGCCGGGTAAACCGATAATTGTATTACTTTTAGGATATAGCTTACTAAATATTAAATAAACAATTATTTTTTAAACAAATGGAACACAATTATCCAGTCTGTTTAATAACTAGGCTTTGGTTTTACGTACATCTGTTTAGTTGTACAACACAGCGAAAGCCGATATATCCTTTTGAGTTAAGAACGATGTGTGACGGATTTCTGCCGTTATAGCCAAAAAAAAAAAAAGGAAAAGGTTGATCAGCAAAGGAAATCTCTAGAAAACTTCACACCCAGATTTTATTTCACCACAAATGTATTTTTGGTTACAGTCCAAAGGCACTTTTTCACATTGCGTGTCGCTCATTATTTTCTGTTAATCGCCCCATGCAAGTTCGTTTTTATTCGGGAACAGAAGTGAGTCCCCGTGATTTCGTGATTTTTAAATGTCGGCGTGGGTGCCTTGATGGGAACTTTTGAGACAGCCTTTAATGACGCACTCGGATGTAAGAAAAATATCAAGCAAAAGGAAAGTTAAGGGTCACTTTGATGAGTTTTCATTATGGGCTAGACAAAAATACGGATATGTCAATATAAGTCATTGTTCGCATGTTAAATAATGAGTAAAAATTTTCCCGCAGGCAATGATATTGTTTGCGAGAAGAAAAAAAAACACGTATTTTGCAATCTGTGAAACGTTCATTAATAGTTAATGTTCCCTGGCTATTTCTTATTTACAGTCATCTCAACCTTTGAAAACGGTTTCTTTCCTTACTTTGCCTATTCAGTGAGGTATGGCCGGAAGGGTTTAACCGTAACAAATAGGCTGTAAATTTATGAATAATGAATATGGTAAACTGACGTATTACGGGCTCCCTCCTTACGAAATTCACGTGTCGTCTTTATTTTAAGGACCTTTTGCTCTCGTACGTGAGTGCTTTTGTCCGTTGTCTTCTTGAATGTTTTGCAATGTGATGATGGTAACGGAATGACCCCAGACTGATTTAAAATGCCCTTTGAAAATATTCGCTGGTTTCATGTTTTCTTCGTTGTATTTCTTGCCTCGAATGTGGACACATTAACGGCCGCAAGAGAGTTACTCAAGAATAACATTAGTGAACCTCAAGCTATCTGCAATGACAATTCTAGAGCCACGTTTTATATCGGAGCAAAGACATCGAAGAAATGGATTGTGTTCTTCGAAAGTGGCGGATTTTGTTCCTCGTTCGCAGACTGCAACAGACGTTACTTGAGTAAAAATTCAACGATCTTGATGACTTCGAACAAGCTGCCTGATAGAATTACTGGACGAGATCTACTCTCTGCGTCTGGCAGCGAAAACCCAGCTTTCTTTCGATACAATCACGTTCTCGTTCCATACTGCAGCAGTGATCTTTGGCTTGGCTTGAAAACTAATCCCAACAAACCGTTCCGTTTTGTGAACGATTCGTCCGTCGATAACTTCAGTTTTAGAGGACAGACGATTTTTCGTTCGGTTTTCATGGATCTGCTACAGCTTCATAACTTGACAGACGCCGAGGAGATCATTCTTGCGGGAAGTAGCGCAGGGGGAATTGGTATTCTGAATCACGCGGATTGGGTCTTGAAGTACGTAGTGGAAACACATCGTTTAAACGCCAGCCTTTTGTCTTTAATCGACTCAGCCTGGTTTATCGACTTTCAGGGTAGTCTCCAGGGCAGAGTGAATCCCAAGTTCACATCATTCGCAAATATTTCGTCGCCTGCTTGTTTAGATTATTCGCGTGGTCACACTTGTTGCCCATCAGCACCATGCATGATTGCGCGCGGGTATTATCCCGCAAGAGTCCCGTTACTTTTGATCTCAAGCATGTATGATATTTACATGTTTGGTGAAGTTGTTAACACACTAGAAGCCGAAGGAAAAACGGCAAATGAGCACTCTGCAGATTTCATATCTGCTATAAACATGTACGGCGGTGCGATGAATGAATCTTTATCGTCATCAGAAGAACAGTCATTGAATGTGAGCTTCTTTACACCAGCATGTTTTCAACACATTTATTTTGCCACCTCAAGTTTGTGGGACGAGAATGGGATCTTTTCTCCTTCAATGGAAGTTGTAGTTGGAAATGCAAAATTTAGGTGAGTCATTTATTATAAGTTTTCGGATCAATGTCAGCACCTACCCCTCCCCTAACCCAAAATTAACCCTAATATGCCATCATTGGACTGTTGATGGGTTACGAGAGGGACGTGTGCCGTAGCTCACACACTGTCATTAATCCAGTTTTTTTATCTCTTTCACCAATTTTTCCCCGTCACTTAGATTGGTCGTTGTGATTGCTTTGATTTTGATTTCACGACACTCAATTTGTTTTGTGACTCTAAACTCATTTTTAATTTTTCATTTGGCGACTTTTATTTAAAACAAGTTTTAAATGGTTTAAAGCAAATATAAATCCCATGTTTCCGTGCATCTGTTGCCACACACTCAGGTGCACCACGTGAGACCCCTTCGCCACCTCGTGTGCCATGGTAATAGATTACAGAAAGCGTCAAAATGTGATTAAAATGGCACTGACTCAGTCATACCACGCCTCGGGTGCTACTCCCTTGTTCTTACCACATTTTGACGTCATCTGTGATCTACGACCGTATTAACTCATGGCAATATGGAATTTATTTTCTTTGTATGATAAAAAAGCACACTGTTGTTAATGGTGACACTATCTAATACCCCATTCACACCAGCAAAACATGTTTTGTTAAACTGGTTTTCATTGAATGAAAATTATAAACAGAGAACTGAAAAACTTGATTTTCCATTGGATTCAAGTACTTGCTAACTTGCATTTCCAATGTGCTGCATTCAAGTCAGAAATATTCGGCTAAATAGTTTCTATGAAGAAAAAAAAAATTAAACTGTGTTTAACAAAACAACTTTTAAACATGTTTAAGCTTTGGTGTGAATGGGGCATAAGTCTGACTTCGAAGAGATCCTAAGTAAGAACCAATTAAAATCAAAATGAAAGTAATATCACATTTTGGCTCTTAACTGATCGCAAGTAACTCATATCGCAAACGGGAAGCAGTTCTGTTAATGTAATTGCAGGAAAGGAACTTGGAAAAAAACAGCAGCTTCTGTGGGGTTTGAAAATGCGCCTCTAGGATTCTAGCAACGTTGCTCTGAAAACTGAGCCATGTAAGTCACATAACGGAAAGAGGGTCATTTGTGGTCATATTGCTTCACGGATAACAAAGAACCCCTGAGAATTTGCCTCGCTTTCAACATGTGGCCTCGTCACTCACTTGGTAGTGGTGGCGCGCAGATGGTATCTAGGAGGCATGTGTTCGACCCAAAGTTTTTTACAGGCTCTTCTTTCTTATTTTTGTAAAACTTTCCCCAATTACTAATATGTTTGCCTGGTTTTTCACATAGGAACGAAGTGCGAAGAAAAACTTGGGAGACAACAAAAATATCGAAGACCAGCATGAAAGATTTTGTATCGACATGGGTGAGATCACGTAACGCTTCCATAAAACTAATTGACAGCTGTATCGGTGCTCAGTGCAACCCTACGTGTCCCCAGCAGTTGTTTTTTATAGATCCTGCGGTGAACTGGGTCGAGGTGGTCAAGATTGTCATAATCATTCTGTCCCTGTCCATCACAGTCACGTGCTTTGGTTTGAAGGCCGTATTCATGCTGTATCAGTATCACCTGTCAAGAAAACAAAGGCAGTACTTGACTGATACTGAAACTAAAAAAGTACAAAAAGAGGTGAGCTATGGAGCAGTATTTAATACGATGTCTTGAGCAGTCTTTGATTGCACGCATATGTGATTAGGTAAAAGGTAAAGTCTATGCTGGAGTTAAGAGTCCTACTCAGCTTACTCTGGTCTCCATAGCATTAAGCGACTTGTAGCATCACTAAACCTCCCTGGATGGGAAGTTAGTCCATCGCAGGGTTACCCCCACCACCTAGGCTAAGAGAGATACTGTGAGAGTAAGAGGTCTCGCCCAAAAACACAACACATTGATCGCAGACCTCTCGAACTGGACTCGAGCGCACGACCGTCGAGCCACCGCGCCTCCCACTCGCCTTATGAATGTGTGTAAAAATTGCGCCTTCCTCTCAGCAAATCAAAATCAAAACCTACCGGGCAAAAGCGCATCACGACTTACTCGTTTATGCTTTCCAGCGATGCTTACCCTAAGCACTATTTTCCTTCTAATATCTCCATTTTTATGATTGGTCAGTGCCACTAAGAGCCTTGTATAGTTAACACAGTCTTTCTGTAGCTCCCAGCGATGGTTCAATCGACCAGAAATATAATGGAGAACATTGGTACCAGAAAGACCCCAGGACACCTATTTTCATTTATGTCACGTTAGTAATAATTGCACCTTGAAAACATTTATTTGAATATACTTTTATGTGCGTTTTTACACCAGTTACCTCCGGCACAACCTAGCGAAATAATCAGCATCGCCTGTTTAGCACTCAGCTACTCAGTCGACGTAAACAAGAAGAAAATGAAAAACGACAGAGGTGAGACTTAAACCTTGGGATAGTTTTAGACAGGACAGATCAGCTCCAAATGCGCAATGATACTTGAGTGTACACTTGACATAGGACGATTATTTTAAACTGGATTGTCAGAGAGACTGAACGAGGAGACAGATACACTCACTGAGTGACTGACAGACCGACCGACTGACCGACCGACCGACCGACCGACCGACCGATCGACTGGCTGGCCGGGCCGACATACTGATTAACTGAATGACCGACTGACCGACCAACTGATCGACCAACTGGCCGACAGACAAACTAACCGACGGACCGACCAACTGACCGACCGACCGACCGACCGACCGACCGACCGACCGACCGACCGACCGACCGACCGACCGACCGACCGACCGACCGACCGACCGTCCGACCGACGACAGACCGACTGAAAGACCGACTGACTATTTTGAATTTTTTACAGACAAGCTGGCTCCTGAGACTAAAGTAGTTCAAACAGATCAACTAGAAGGCACATCTTCCTTGATGATGAGAAAAGATTTAGATGATGTGTTCGAAGAGGAGGAATCAACAAGCCTTTCCAGTGAATCAACTGGAGAAGTCGACTCTTTCCCAAACGATAACTTGGGTTTTGAGAGATCAATGTCTCTAACGCCTGGGCGAACAGATTTTACCAAAATGAAGTTACATTCTACTCAGAATGGTCATTCTTATAGTCACGACAATCCAAGAGTGAAGGTAAAAGAGGCGAAGACCAGAAATGGACAAAACCAAAAACAAATTCTAAAGAATGTCTCTGTTTACTTTAATCCTGGAGAGTTGGTAGCCATCTTGGGTCCCTCGGGATCTGGAAAGACAACTCTACTAGATTTGCTGACAGGAAGGCGAGAAACAGGCAACAGCCAGGTACGTGGGACGTCATAGGAAAACTCATACGGGAGTCAAAATATATTTAAGGAGCTTATATTAGAATATCTAGTTTTTGAATGTAGAATACAGATTTAAATGGAAAATTAAGAGCATTGTAAACAGTTGGAACGAAGGGAGTTTTATAAACTCAAAAAGGTAAAGAAAGAGCTTGAACAGGATTCAAATTCTTGGCCGTCCTCCGATACAGGTGCAGCGCTTCGGCTGAAAAGATTGTGGTGCCATTTACTGTGTGAACAGTCATGCTGGTCACTCATGCAAACCATATATGCGATTGAAAATACGGTCTAAGAAGGACTATTTGGTCCCACAGAAATTCCGCTATTCATCCGTTTACCTCAGTGGCTCTAAAAAGAAGTGTACGTTTACCTCGCTACTTTGCAGATCGTTAACTACTTGCTCTCTATGCGCCTCCACACTGTGATTAAGCTTTACAACGTTTTCTTGATTCGCAGGGTGCGGTGTTTATAAATGGAGTTCCTAGAAGTCTTGGTAATGTGCACAAATGGTTCGCTCGCAAGATTGGTTACGTGTTACAACTGGCTGTGCCTTACTATGAAGAACTCACTGTGCGGCAGAATCTCTTTTTCGCTGCTCACATGCGGCTGCCTAAATCAATGAGCAATGCACAGAAGTTTGAACGCGTTGAACAGATACTTGCAGAGGTATTTCACTCTTGCTACTTTCAAATGATAAGTGAACCTCAAAGGAATGATGAAAGCTCCATGTTCCCTGTTTCTCATTCTTCATTTTCCGTTTCTCGTCGTCATAACATACTTCGAGTATGAACACTAGAGTCTGCTGTAAGACACAAGACCCCAATTTAAGGCACTAGTATCCGATTTTGTGCACTAGAGTCCGATTTTAGACACAATTAACCGACTTCAGACACAAGTGATCTATTTCTGACTCTAGTTTCCGATTTTAGACACAAGTGTTCGATCTTAGAACTAATGTCCGATTTTAGACATTTGTGTCCGATTTTAGACATTAGTGTCTGATTTTAGACACTAATGACTGAATTTTTTACACTAGTGTCCTATTTAAGACACTAGTGTTCAATTAAAGATGCTACTGTCTGATTTTGTTTACTATTGTGTAATTTTAAACACAAGTGTTTCCTTTTAGACACTGTTGTCCGATTTTAAACACTAGTGTCTGATTTTATACACTACCGTTCGATTTTAAACAAAAGTGTTTCATTCTAGACACTACTGTCCGTTTTCTAACAATAGTGTCTGATTTTTGACACAATGAGGGGGAATATTACATAGACTGTTCGCAGGGGATCAAGTTAATGTTATCGTGACAGCCAAAGTCTCTCAACCTTCCCCCACCCCTTCCCCGGTGATAAATGATAAACTGGTCTCTTATTAGCTGTGGTTCCTGTGGTTCTTAAACTTGCCATCGATTCCACAACTTACCTGTTGCAGATCGGTCTTACGTCTCTGGCTGATACAGTTGTTGGTGGGTCTGTGGGTCAAGGTCTCAGTGGAGGACAGAAACGTCGATTGTGTGTCGCTCTTCAGATGATAAATCTGCCATCTGTGCTTTTCCTTGACGAACCAACTTCGGGTACGTTGTTTTAATAGCGAATTTTAGATTTCTCTTTAGTGCGTGTTTATATGTGTTTATACCTTGATTTTTTAAATGTATATTTTAAAAATTAGGCGCATTCTCAAGATAGCCCTTCTTAATTCGTAAAGATTCTTAAGCGTTCTGACGGATATATCCAAGTTATTTCAGTCCTTGGACGCAAAGTTTGGGGAAGTCCAGAGACCCCACTTCTCGTTAGAGGCAGTCTCACGAACGTTGTCACTGGATCTCGTGTTGCAGTTATGATGTTCACTATCCCAATACTATAGAATCATTTAACCCTTGTTTAATTTCAAAATGCTCAAATTAACGTACATTCTTTAAAATCAGGTCTGGACGCATCATCTTCCCTGGAGCTGTTGAATCTTCTCAATGTTGTTGCTGAGACAGGCAGACTAGTGATTCTCACTATACATCAGCCGAGGGTGGAAATCTTCCATCTTTTCCACAAGATTATCCTTATGTATGATGGTCAGGTGAGCAAACCTTCCCTGTAAACGAGGACGAAGGGGAAGGGGGGGGGGAGGTTTACCACTTAACATTCGTCCTAAGGTGGTTCCTCCAAAGAGGTCAAATTAAGTGTGAACCGAGCATGCTCGACCTGATGATGATGATGATGATGATGATGATGATGATGATGGAGTGTGAACTCCGTCCATACATACACACGCACACCCCTAACACTGACTCCAGCTTCAATAGCATAGATAATGTTCATGGTAAAATCTAATATTTTTAGAATTATATCCATTAAAATTATTAGAAGATAAATAAGGAGGGCTTCCTTTTACGTGCTTATCAACCGTCACGCTCATGACTTTAGGTGGCGTATTACGGCGAGCCTACACCAGCCCCGACTCTCTTTCTTAAAGCCTATCTGCAGTCAACAACTGAAGAATTTCGACTCAGTGAAGAAGCGCCAAAAATTGATGCCAAAAACCCTGCAGGTAAGCTGCAAGGTCCACCCTAAGGTTGGAGCAATTAGTTATCCGAGGTCTGACATTGGTTTTGATTTAGTTCGTTCTAGGATTAATTGAAAAACTCGCACCTTAGCTTTATATCGCACAACATGAAAAATCAAAACTATTTGCGAGTTGGTCGCTTGCGTTTTTCCGCGCTTAAGGCCATGGAAAAGACGTGCTTTTTCTTTGAGTTCTGATTGGCTCCTTGAGATGCACGTCTTGGTTCTGATTGGCCGTTTAGATAAATTTGCGTCTGGCTTTTAGACACTGGATCGGAAGCCGTTCTGTTCGTTGGTTAAGGGAGTATTTCGATCATATTACTCATAATGTTGTTCGCTTTTAATATAGGTTGGAATTCTCAACTTTTCAATCTTTCAAAAAAGAAAACAGAGACAGGCAAAGATTTGGTCGCATCGCTAACAGGATTTAGCTCTTAATTTCGCCACTCTGTTGGCGACGACTGATCCCCCACTTCGCTCCACCTCAAGAACCCTCCTATCCTTACAAAATCCTCCGCCACTCCCCCCTCCCCCGCAAAAAATATGAAGTGGTCCTCAAGTTTAAATTTGGTGGAATTCATATATGAAGGTAAAGAATGGACAATTCTTAAATTGAAAAGCATACGATTTACTTATCTATCCAGACACAATTATGGATATAATGAACTGCAGTGAGGCTCGCCGAGCCATCCTGGATTATTACCAAAGAAGTGGTGAGCCACAGGCAGTCCAGGAAGCTATCAAAAAGGCACAGGAAGACGCAAGAAACATTTTTACTATGCAAAACATGAACTCCGACGAAGAGGAGTAAGTATTTGGCGTCGGTGTAGCTATCACGCTACCCAAACCAGCATTTACACGAGATGTAGGCATCAGACACCATTTTTTTATGTTCGCAATCAAAAAGTGCCTTTGAAAATATGATTCTGACCATGTTTCGAGATTCATAAGAGTAACTTGCCCTTTCGAATACTGTCGTCAAATGAGCTGATGATTTGAGGCGGCCCTTTTTAATCTTGGTTAGTAACCTTGCCGTTTACCCGCGACGTAGCAAAGTCTGTCTCCTGTTTCATAAATCTTAAAGGCTTTTTGAAAAAGGCTTCGTGCATAGTCGAATTTAAAGCACATTTGAAAACAACATTCGAACTTTCACGTATCTCTTCAGAGTTTTAAAAAAGCGTGAATGAATCACTTCAAAGCCTGCAATGAGTCTCATCAAAGCCTGTTATTATAGCAAATCATTGTTTTTTTCTTGGCAGGACAAACGATGCAGGAACATTTAACAGAATATTTGTGTTGGAAGGCCGAACTTCCCTGAGTCAAACACTTGCACAAATTTGCTATTTTCCTCTGATATTCTTCTTGTTTGGATTAGTAGTAGGTAGGTATGCCCTACCCCTGTCAAGAATAATGTTTGACCACACCTGTTTTAGGGTGAGGTAATGGTCTGGCCCACTCAGCCACTGGTCCCGAGTATGGGCATGAAGTGGCTAAGGGTATTACTACTTCCCCCTGAATTAAATGCCATCACAAGGTTACCCCTCAGCATTTCATCAGGCTTCCCTGACAACTCACCGCCACCCATTTACGCTCCCGGGTGGAGAGAGGCACTGGGAGATCAAAGTGTTTTTGCCCACGAAAACGACACAACGACCTGGCTAGGTCTCGAGCCCAGACCTCTTGACCCGGAGTCTAGCGCACTAACCTGGATCAGAGACCATGAAATCGAGGACGTTTAATAAGTACCAAAGAACTACTATATTTTAAGATGTCGAGTGACAAGTGATTATTTCTTGTCAGAATCGGAAGGAACTGACATTGGTTAAAGGCCAAATTTGAGAATGCTATCGAAACCATCCACATATACTACTTGTAAAGCTGTCTGACCAGAGATTGCAAACTTTGATTTCTGTGCGTCTTTGATGATTCAGGCTTCGCCCTCATTGCCTATCACGCAATACAAATTTATGAAATATTGGACACAAACCTTTTTTAATGTGTTACATAATTTTCCCATCAGGAACAATTTACTTTCGGGCGCAGGACAAAGATGGGATTTTGCTGATGTCAGCATTTTGCGTCTATTGCTGCTGCAGCCCCTTGTTTCTCAGCTCAGTTCTAATGGCGCATCTAAACAAAGCTCTAAATGTGAGTAGATTGAGCATTCTGATTTTTGTATTAAATTTTTTTCATTACGATATTTTTTAAGGTGATTCCTCAGTGCGCATCCTGTACTGCGCAAAAAAATCACGTAATCGGGCGAATAGGCGCGCGCGAGAACACGGTGTCGTTTTTCCACTAAAAGGACCAGGTAAAGAGGTAGGATGATCTTTAGCTCGTGAACGAGCACGGTGACCTATATTTTTTGTTCCATAATTTTGGTGTATAAATTTTCCCCTTTAAACTGGACAAACCAAGAAAAATTCATCGAAGGGAAAAAAAGATATGGCTGAAAAGCGTGCACAAAGCCTGTTACTCGTGGATGTAAATCATGACCTTGAAAAGAACAACTCGAGGAAAGTTTTGCGTGTATGCTGTTTAAATTTTCATGCATTTCAAATTGCTCCATGTGCTCGAGAAATTCTATCTATCAAGTTTCTTGAGTGTCACTTTAAAAAAACCTTGCTTCCAGCTGCAGCAAAATGTCAAAATGTACCGTGAACCGATCAAATGATTCGCGCGATAAGTGTCAGTACAGGCATAAATGATTTTTGTAAGGAGTAAGTTTGGCCCATTTTATCTCCTACACAAGCACGGTGACCTATCTTTCTTATTGTTTAGGAAAGTTGAAAAAAAGGTGTTCGATAAATTCATTTTCTGAGGAATCATCCTAAGGATTTCCTGTCGTACTGTATAAGTGTTACTATATTATATAAGGAAGATTTTCTGAAATAAGCACCTTCTTGGGCCCTCTTGGGGTTCAAGTCTGAATAAGAAAGGGAGGGGGGGACTAAGGGTCATGCGTCTCCGCCGGGGCTAACAGACCACTATCTCTGTGCAAGACCTTAGTCGCGTAATTTAATGACAAGCAGACATTTACTGTATTTTTGTGCCTGCAGATATATCACCTTGAACGTGCTGATGGGTGCGGTCGGTCATATGAGAATGTGATTCAGACATACGTGCGCATTGCTGCTCTGTGTGTGATTCCAATTCTAGTCCGTTCGGCGATGTCTTATTTATTGGTAGGTTACGCAAATCTGGGTAACGTTAAAAATAAGACCTACAAGTTTGCCCGGTTGTGCTACACTCCCGAACACCGACTACCTCCCTTGCCCCCCTCCATGTTGGTCTGCAAGATGGTTTAGAAATATTGGCAGTTGACAACATTTGAAGAGGGAGAGCGACGAAAGTACATCATAGACGTTGTTCTGAAGAAGTATCCTCATCGATTTTGCCTGAGTGTCCACTCTTAGACACTCTTGTTAGGTCACCGTCTCCCTCCCCTTCCCTTGTAAATGTTGGTTTGCAAGATGGCATAAAAACATTAGCAGAAGACGGGTGATAGAACGTCATAGCCGTTGTTCTGAAGAAGTGTCCAAAGTAATTATATCTCGGAGTTAAGTTATCCCTTTGCAATTATGAGAAACAGCTTATTATACCACGCATAGAATGCATTTTAAATAATGCAGATTTTGCATGTTATGTCATACATGAATGATCGTGCGCAAGCGCGTACGTCACCAAGCAGAAGTGTTCATGAACATGCGAGGCAAACTGCAGTGACAAGCATAACGAGAGCTACAAGCTTTTTACAAGACTATTAGTCTTATAAAGTTGCCTTTTCGTATGCATGCCTCAGCTTACGCCTTCAAGAGTGATCGTTAAACTGTTTACAGGAAAGTTTCACCATGATCATTTTAACAGTCAAATCTTAAGAAGTAGTTGGGGCATGCGAACCGAAATTCAAAAACTAATATTTTTGAAAAATTCGGGTCCAATTTAACACGTTGTCACCACCGACTGCCCTTTCTCTCGACCAAAATTAAAATACCAAAGCACAAGGACATTTAAAGATATTTCTGTTCTATTGACGTCACACACGTAATAGGTGGATATTGACATTCCATCCTCTCCATAATCTCCATGAGTAGAAACTTCTTCTCGGGATGCAGCATGTCAAACACATTTTCCAACATTTTTGTCCCAAAACACCGATTATCGAATTCAGAGACAGCGGGTGAATAAAGCGATAAGCTTTCCCTTGTCAGTGAATGTATCTCTCTCCTGTGTGGCTGAGATAAACATAAAAAAAAATTTGTATGTGAAAAAATTGATAAAAAACAAATTAAATGTATATATCCTGATTTTTTTCTTCTTTCCTCAGGTCATGACGTCGCATGATTTGAAGACATTTTTCTTGTTAATAATCATCTCATTGGTTTTAAACCAAACCTGGATTGCAGTCTACATGATGGTGATTTGTGCACATCCGGGATTCGCTAGTCGCATTTGTCCGATGGTATCCGCCATCGGAGGCTTCGCGGGGGGCTTTTTAGTACCCAGACCTCAAATGCCGGCTGGGTGAGTGAAAAATTATCGACTTCACTAACATATCATCAAGTTTGCTCCTTCAACGACTTCGTCATCTTAACGACGTCATAAACTTAACGAAGTCCGAAAGTTGCCGAAGTCGTTAAGATAACGACGTCAACAACTTAACAACTTCATTGACATATCAGTCAACGCCTCAGTTAAGGTATAAAACGCGACACTAGAGTAATAGCGTGTTGGAATAGCAACGTCATTACTACTAAAATATTTCCCCGTAGATTATTGAGGAGAATTTGGTCTCATAAGAAAACAAAATATTCTGTATCGAACTGTTTGAGTATTTTTCATAATCTTATAACAAAATCGGCTTGAAATTTTGCGGAAAGTTACCTGTGATGGAGGTGAAACAACGAGGGCTTAACTGTGAAGTACCACGATTATTGCAGCTCTGAACTTTTAATTTTTCCTAATAGTGTCTATTTTTATTTACCTTAGGTACAACCTACTATTCTACATCAACCCACAATTCTACGGTTATTCTGCTATCACCAAAGCCTTATTACAAAACCTCCGCCTAAAATGTGTTTACGAGTCCAAATTGAATTGTATCAGTACTGAAGGCAATGCTGTTTTGGCCGGATTTGGGTTCGACACGGTCAATATTTATGAAAATTTGGCGGTAAGTTTTCCTTTTCTTTTGAATATAAGAAAGATTACTTCCGTTGAGCCAGAAAAGACAGTAAATTTATAGAGTGATTGGTGCAAACCTTTTCACCCAACGTAAAGATAAAACCAGGAACAAACTTAAGTCGCTTTTCCTTTATCTTCTCATATAATCGACACCAAATTGATTTCTATAACTACATCGGACATGTATGTTCGACGTCCATGCTATACATGCTAATTTAAAATGTTTCAAAAACGTATACTAAGACACGACACTCTTTATATTCCAGTACTACTCATTAACATTGCTCTGCAGAAAAACAATTACGAATGAACAATGAAATTAATTTAATGCTGATTGTTCCTCTGATTACAGATAATGCTTGGGATGACAGTAATATCATTAATTTTCTCCTGGCTATTTCTGGAAATAAAGAACATGAAGATGAAATTCTCCAAAACGTATGTAGCGATTGTTTGTTTATGCATAGCCTCTTCTCAAAGTAACCTCAATGTTAGTTCGAGTAACGTCAGAAAATTGGAAAATATCGGGGAAAAAATTGCAATTTACGTGTTCATGTAGGTCGAATTACACGACAGAGCCAAATGTTAACTCTACAAGGGAAACGGTGTTTTCGTAAAGAAATTCACTCTAGACAGAAATTAACATTTGAACGAGCCTGGAAATATTTGTGGGTTTTTTGTATGTAGTCTAAGATGTCTTCACAAGGCAAATTCGGTAAAGAGTTGAACGATGGCGTCTCTGAAATTAGGCGTTTCCTTCATCTACACAACTCAAATCCAAATTTTACAACGGACAGTAATGTCGCAGTCTGATTGGCCAATTTACCGCTTGGGATAAGAGCACAGACAACGCTGCTAGCGTCCATGTGTCATGCGATTCCTTTACCAGCTCTTAACCCTTTAAATCCCAAGATCTGATTCTAAATTCTCCCCTCTAGCTGCTACACATTTCCTTTTAAGTCAGTTTTAAGAATTTGGTGTCAGATCAAGAGAACAACCTCTACTTGACAAGTTTAAATATTCTCATTACCTGTATGCTGGATAGTTTATACATATAATGGGGAGAATTAACATGTTAATCAACTCTAGAGGTTAAAGGATCCAACATGGATGACTAAAAAAAAAATCGATAATAGTTTGGCGTGGTCTGTACTTTTAACCCTTTATCTCCCAAGATCTCAGTAGTAATTCTCCTCACTGTCTACATACAGTTCTCGTAATGTTAGTTTAGAGAATTTGGTATTGGATCAACTTATAATCCCCTTATTTATATTTTTCTTCATTCTCATCACTTGTCAGCTTTGTATTGTATTGATATTGTAAGGAGAAATTCTGTCTTGGTCACTCATGGGAGTTAAAGGGTTAACAACAACTATATTTGTCATCACAGTGGTCAAAATTTGTTGCGGATTTGACCATCAGCGAATATAGCCGTCGATAATACTACACACCACGCTAAATCGCCGTCGATTAGTTAAATAGCACACCGACCCTTCTTCAAAATATCAACTTGTAAGAAAGGCGTATTTTTACGTAAACAAAAACAGCAACAGTTTCCGCAGTCTACATTTTGACTTGAACGTCAAAGGTAGACCCCGATCCAATAATATGCAAAAACAAAAACGCTCTTTGCCTCCTCCCCCCGTCCTCCCCGCTCCCCCCCCCCCCCGTCACTCCTCTGCTATACCAGAAATGTCGGACGACTCACAATCATTCAACTAATCTCATTGTTCTATTGACTTAGGTCATCAAAAATATCAAGGTCACAAATGGATAAAATACTAAATGAATCAATCGAGCTTCTAAATGAGGCAGGCCACACAGCTAACCCCACTCGCCGGAGGTCCACGTTAGGCATTGTTACCCATGACGACGGACTGCACACCGTGAAGCTTCCGGACAGTCCCATTTCTCGCGAGTGCCAGCCAGATCCAGATGTTGTTTCTTTGATGCCACAAACGAGTCCTGTCATGTCTCGAGAGAGTCGGTGGGCGATTGCTCGTAGGCGTATGGCGGAGAGAAGGTTAAGCACCCATCTTGAGATGCAGAACGTTCAGAGAATCGCCAGACATTCCGCAGTTATGCAATCAAAACAAGTTCAGTCTCAAATGACAAGGACGCCAAAGAAAACTATACCTCTGCCACCGAGAAGTAGACACAACAGTGACCCTGGAGCAAACGGACAAAAACCAGAACCAAAAAAGAAACGTCACCAGTCATACCATGAAACCAACGATCACAACCCTATGAATCTTGAACTGAAAATGACAACTTGGCAATCCGCGCCACGATCAAGGAGTGTCTCTTTTCCTGTGGTTGAAGAGGGAGATCAAGAAATGACGAGTCGTAGCTCGTCATTGAAAAGTATCCGTGAACATGATGACGCGTTTGGCTCTGTGGACGAAGAAGAGGATACCGCGAATATCGTTGTTGACACCAAGTTATAAATATAGGGAAAACCCAAAAGAGCAATAGACATTTTTTCCTTCATTTCGTAATTAATAGTAGAAAAGTCACATTCAAAGACAAGTGCTAAGTAAGTAGGCTTTAATATCAGTTGACTTCTCTGATGTCACAACGTCTTTATAAATACTGATTTATTTATCATGCACAATCTTCACAGTTAACTGCACATTATTCCAAAATACAAAATAAAAAATGCAAAAATTTAAATCTGGTTCTCCTGCTTTACATCTGCATGTGTCGTCCTTGATATTTGGAAATTGTAAAATTGAGGAAATTCCGCTGTGTTATACATCCAGACTTTCAGTATATTCTATGATGGAGACTTTCTTCACAGATTTTTGTTTATCCTTCTGAGCCTCACAACCAGACACATGTTGCTGGCCAGCGCCTTCTTCATCTCCTCTAGATCGTCCTTGCTCTTGAATTTCAAAGCCTCTAGCTTCATTGTCGAAAGGTTTCTTCACAGTGTGTAGTTGCAAGACATCTCCTTCACTGGATCCAGTAGCGCTTTCTTCTTCCCTTTGCTTCTTTCCAGCTTCAGTCTCCTGGTTAAGAACGTCTCGCACCTCATCCTTGTTCGTCTCACCGCTTCCTCCGTCCACTTCCGATTCTTCAATCACCTCCTGAAACAGCCCCTTCCTGCAATCATCTTGGAAGCGACCATTTCTTTTGGTAATAAACTCCGGCCTGTTAGCTTCATTTGAAGCCGATGCAGCCATGGTACTTCTTCGAGCAACGACTGCCTTCTCCTTCGCTCTCCTTCGCACGGATTGGGAGTGTTTTATTGTGTAGCGCCGGGCGATTTTCTCAACTTGTGACAAACGCTTGTCAAAGTCCATTTTCCTCTCCTCTACGCGCTGTTTGGTGGATCTCCAAAGTTCTTTCCCTGAAATGCTCACCAATCGCCTTCGGCGTACAACGTAGTCAACATTCTCGCCATCAATTGCTTGTTCAGTGTTTTGGACGCTATTCGCGTCACTAGACTGACGCCTGTGTAAGGGAAGCTTGACAGAATGGAAACCTTGGTTGCCACTGATCAGTCCAAGCCTGGATTTTGCGGATCTCCGGTTGCGAGTGAATGGTTTTAAGGGTATCTCCGTTAGTATTTCATCCTCGTCCTCATCGACTAAGGTTTCGTCAATTGGCGTCATTGGCACAACCGCAACCTCCAATTTCTCCTCTTCAGGCTCGGTTAAAAAGGCTGGGGGACTGGGAATAACAAGATAAAAAACAGAATGATACTTTTGATACTTCATATTCGAAGTCTGGTTCAAGGCAATTTTGAAAGTAAAAATGCTCTTTTGTCAGAACTAATATTCGAATCCTACAAAAATTCTTGATTATACAAATCAGAGCTCGGTTGAAGTGACTAAAGAACCATTAAAACGGCTTAGCTTCAAAAGAATTTTAAAACAATTTGAGCGATGAAGCTTAGAAGCCCGGAAACTAAAGTTTATAGCGCGGTAAAAGTTGTCAGAGGTCAATATAAGATGTAAATCAGATAAACAACGTTACGAGGTGAAAACAGAGAGCAAGACTTACGTTTTAGTGAGGGAGGGGATGGTGAAGTTTTTCGCTTCTAAAAACAACCAAGCGAGAAGCAAAGATAACACTGTCATCCCTAGCATGATCTGAAAAAAACAATATTTTAATTAAAATAAGGATGTCTTAAATGCGACATAAAAAATTTTTTAAAAAACTATAGGAATGAAGTATTATAGTTGGTCTTGCAATGCAGTCACTTCCAATTGGGATCCCCTCTTTTCGACTCAACATTGAAAAGTGAGAACACAGAAAGACAAACGTTAATACTTCGCTTCTTCTGTATTTACCACGAGGAATAACCATAATCTTCTTGATAACAAAACAATTGTAGTTTAACGACAGTAAGAATTGGGAGACATTTCTGGAATAATGGAAAAACGAAAAACGATAGTTTTTCAACAAAGAAAAAGAGCCATTGGTAGCTTGAAGAAAAATCAAACTGAAAGGCTAGAGCGAGGGTAAGAGAGTGTATTCATGTAGTCGAGAATGGTTACAGGTTTGCAAGTGATCAATTAAAAAGGCTGATGGAGTTTTCTAGATCAATCGCATGGCACAGACAAGCAAAACCTAAGTAACACCAGCTTTTAATTTCAGCACTCACTGAAGTTGAAATTTCTCTTAAGAATACCTAAGAATGAAAACTCATCAAACTTATGACATGTTTTCCTGGTCGAGTCCCCCAAGAGTGTACAATAAATAAACAACATCACTAAAATCTGTCCATAATAAGAAAACAACGCTAACAATTAAGAGAACTTTAGTCAACATTTATGCACATCAACCGTCCTCAAGTCACCAAAACTAACTCACCACCAAGTGTTCGTAGACATTGACGGTATCAAAGCCAAACCTGGCCAGTACAGCATTACCGTCCGTACTGATACAGTTCAGTGTGGACTCATATTCACATTTCAGTCGAACATTTAACAACAGGACTTTAGTCATTGCTGAGTAGCCATAAAATTGGGGATTGATGTAAAACAGAAGGTTGTATCTGAAATGTAACCAGAAATAGAGAGACGTAAAACAAGTGTTTAAAACGTAAAAAAACTACTTGCAAATTGTGCCAGTCGCTTTGATTTCAGCCAGATAATGGTAGCTTCTGAGAAATAGAAAAGCCTAATTCATTAGGGTTATAGAATTTCACATGACTGTGCGCCAACAGGAAAAGTTACTCCTTCATTTGATTTTGGAGTTTGCCGGTCTATCATAAACCTTCGTTATTTATCGAAACTTCCTTGTTTTTAAGGTACTGTTCCTCAGAATCAAGCTATTACATCTGGATGTTTCGTGATCGAGATGAATGATCAAAACCTAATAGGGTTTCTTAATTTATAATCCTGTCTTATTTCAGTCTTCTTCCTTCCCTCCTTGCAACCATGACTCATCCTCACGCCATTATATGTTTCTTTCAAAAATTACACTTATTTTTGATAAAATTCTAGCAGAATAAACATGTGACAATTCCTATTTCAAATGTCACTGCCCTGCTCCAGAGAATTCCAACAGATTCCTAAACGCACACCTTAAATAACAGGAGCTTACAACACTCACACAACTGGCATTTGAGGTCTGGGTACTAAAAAGCCCCCCGCGAAGCCTCCGATGGCGGATACCATTGGACAAATGCGATGAGAGATTCCCGGATGTGCACAAATCACCATCATGTAGACTGCAATCCAGGTTTGGTTCAAAACCAATGAGATGATTGTTACCAAAAGGAACTTCCACAAATCATACGACGTCATAACCTGAGAAAATAAGACAAAAATGCAGCAACCTTACCAACAAATCGTTTATAGTGTCGATTTTTTCCAAAATTAAACTTTATCATTTTTCCTTCATTTGTGTATCAACAAGGCAGAAGAAATCAACTTCCAATCGAGCGTTTTACATCAGTTTTGCTTCATTTTGCTTTATGATTGGTCTAAGAAATTTTCCGCGGCCGTCCTATCTGCCAAGCCGATACAAAACTGAAATCAATCATGTCTTGACGAGATTTTCCCTTCCCTAAGATGACTCGTTGGATGGAATGAAGGTGAATCCTACATCCTTTTGCCTTCGTTTTGTCTTCAAAGCAATCCTAGGAAATGATTTATTAATTAAAACGTATAAATGATCGTAAAAGAACGTACCATCAAGTAAGACATCGTGGAACACATGATCACCGGTAAAGCACATAATGCTGTCGTCCGAACAAACGTTTGTACCACGTTCTCGTAAGATCTACCACAACCGTCTTGACGTTCAAGGCGAAAAATCTAAGAAGTAAAAATGCGCGAAAAAGTTGTAAATGCATTACAGTAATTATGAAAAGTTTTCAATCTTAAAAGCATAACCGCACTAAGTATTTCTCGGTGTCAATAATGTAACTCGGCCACCATAAAGATTTTTTAGAAATTCTTTAAGGTAGCCAATTTACTTTATCAAATCGGTTGATAAAACAAAATTATCTTGTTGTAACCCCCTCTGATGCAGTACCACAGTTTCTTTAAAAACTTAACCCGTTGAAGTTTACGCAGTTTTTTTTGTGTTGATGTTTTTGCGGTAGCTAAGTACTAGTAGTGTTTGTTCTTTTTATTATTCCCGTGAAATGATCTCAACCATCATGCTTTGCACCATCACAGAGGGACCACACATGCGCGAGCGTAAAGTGTGATATGTTTTGCACCATAATTCCAAGAGAAAGAGAGGCTCTTGAATACATGTCTTTAGAGTACTTACATCCAAAGCTTTGTTGAGGTGCGCCATCAGGACAGAGCTTAGAAACAAGGGACTGGCACAGCAGTACACACAGTACGCAGACATCAGCAGAATTCCATCTCTCTCCTCAGCTTGCCAGTAAACAGTTCCTTTAAATTAAAGGTAAAATAAAACCAACATAATTTAAGGTTAACAATTGTTAAACATGTTGCAGGAGCTTAGGATAAAGTAAAATCTCGGGCCTTTGAGAGAATTTAAACCAAGGCCATTTCCAATTTCGTGTTTGGACGCTCCACCGACTGAGCCACAGAGAACTGGAGGTGAGTGTTAAACTACATCAAAATTTATCATTCAGCTAGTGCTAGTGTAAAAAATTTCACCGAAGTATTTAAAACACTGTTAGAAATACTGAAACTTTCGCAAAACCACATAATTAAGGAAGTCTTTCACTGCGAGCAGTTCTCACATTCTGTTCGAGTAACTTTCATTAGATTGAGTTCCATATTAGTCTTGGCGTGACAAAAGCGTGACCCACTCTGCTTTAACAAGCGTGACTAAAGCTATGCATAACATTTAGGTTTATCTGCATACCTACGATGATCCCAAATGTGAAAAAAATTAATGGAAAGTACAAGATCTGTCCCAATGTTTGCTTTACTGAAGTTCTGCTCTCCAACACAAAGATTCTGTTGAATGACCCAGCGCCATCGACACTGGAAAAAACAAGTTACAAATTAGAGTTAAATTAGCAAACTCTTCGTACGGACAAGCAAATAAAACCTGTCAAATACAGAAGAAGCTTTGAACGCTGAGAAGTTCCAAAATCTCACATACATGTGGTGCAATGTCACCTTACAGTTAAGCGTGGGCAATGTGCGTTTGTCCATCGTGGTTGCGATGACAAATGAATGTTCACATTTGAAAAGCAAAGCTACCAATTAAGGATGGCAAGGCTTTGATTGCTACGATGCTAATCTTCGTCAGGGGTAAA